CCTCCGAGATCAATGTGGGCTGCTCAATACGAAGCCGATAAATCGGATCGTTGTCCGTGCCATGTAGAACTCGTAGCACACTGCACGCACGCACCAGTGGACCAGAACCCCGAACACGAGGCTGCAGAGGATCTGAACTGCCTAATGACACCAGTAGGCAGTCCCAAGAGAGCATGTCTCCAATATCCGGCTGCCAAACTGCCTAGTTTGAATATTTAGCGCGATGCACCGCACAGCTTCGCAAGATACGACAGCTTGCGACCACGGCGGGGAGACAAGGCTCGGCGTTGCTGAACCTTCCAGGTAGCCCTACGCTTGTAATCAGTCGTGACCGAGCCTAAGTCCTGCACACCTGGGGCAAAGCTGATAGAGACACCATATCTCTTAAACCCGCCCTGCAGGAGCCGCCCCAGCTCGACCGACGAGGCGACCGCCAAAGACTTGGAGCTGACAAGGCATCTAAGTGCAGAAATGCCCTGCTGAAGCTCAGCAGCGGCAGGTGGCAAATAGCGACATATGAAAGCGGTGGTACCTTGCAGGTGCTGGGTAATGTCATCCACACATGACCTGATGGGAACACGTACATGTTGGAGACCCCCTGGGTCTCGAGGGCTCTTATTGTGAGCTTTCCCCAGAATCCCGTGGAGATAGCACTTGACCCAAGGCACACTCTGACTAAACCCTGCCAAGATAGACTCCCCAGCGGCAATCACCCTCGAGAGACTTCCAGAAAGTTCCGGGAGCCTAGGCGAGGTGTGGACGAGGGGCCCCAAATACAGCAAATAACCCGGGCGGCCTTGGTTGGCGACAAAATGCAGCAGCTTATTGTGGCAGACGGAACCGAAGAACTCCTCGAGGGCCCAATGAAGGGCGCAGGATTGAAAACCACAAGTATGGACCACTTCATGGGCTGCCTCCCTAAACAGCGCCGCCTTCAAGGCCGACGATCCTTTGACAGCAGAGTCCCAGAAATCCAAGTGGGCATTGTGCCAGTCGTCAATGTCGAAGCCTCTAGTTTTGCAGCAAATCCGATATATGCTGGGACACTTACCAGTAGCACGTTCGTCACACATCGACTTGGGCAGCATGGCCATGCTACAGACGTAGCACTGGGGGGGGAGCTGGTGGGCTCCTCAATCATCCTCAGGATATCTGCGGAAACTCTTAGGGCATCTCCAGGCGCGTCGACCATGGCGAGGGGCGACCGCATGTCAACGCCGATTGACGCGGTGGCCTGACAACATGTAAACGCACGAGCAATATCGGACCCCTAAGCACGGGGGTCTCTCCCAGAGCGACCAATGCCTGAGAACGCAACTCACGCATGCCAGCGTTCATGCAGGTGAGCGGATGAGAGGGAGGGTCCACCAGGAGGTCCATTTTCTTGCAAGAAAGCGCATCGCGGACTTGGGGGGCATTGTTGACGCCTCCATGAGTCTCGGAATGTTCAACCCAGTCCTCTTCTTCAGCTTTCATATAACAATGAACTGGGCTGGCTCCGCGGAAAAAAGGATGTCTGCAACCATGTTGTCATGCTAGACTGAGTTCTGGTACGAGCCAATGTTGGGCCCACGACTGCTCTTTAGCATGCGCAGCATTACATGCATCAGCCTGAGGTCGCAGAGTTTCATCATACCGCGGAGGGTGATCGAGCATGTCTTCCAACTATCAGCATCCTCAGTGGACGGGGGATTCCGTGAGCGACAGCGTCGGAGGCCAAGTCCGACAAAACCGCGCGGTACTGCCGCGCATCTTTATAACAAATGTGACTTGCCAGTGAGCTTCCACAGCTCATGCAAACTGCTAGACGCGATCGACCAGTAGGACAAGTCAGGATTCCGAAACTCGGCGCCTGCACGCTGCGAGTCAACCGAGACAAGTCCTTGCGCTTCGGCATGCAACCTGGACCGAGATACCTGGTAGGATGCGAATCGAGGGCACATGCGCGTGAGAGAGCGCGCAACTCCATAGCGCGAAGGCACTGCGTTTCCAGACTCCGAGACAACCACTCTCTGGAATGCTCTGGCATGGCCTGGTAGAGGTCTGCGGGCATCGCCAAGGGGGCCTCGAGGAAGTCGGGGGTAGCAGCCGCCAGATGCGTGAGCCAGTGATTATCAGGACCCAGGGCTTCAGGAACCTCCGAGGCCTAACCCGCTATCAGGGGCGGCCCGCCATGGCTTCGAGGTCTAACACCACGTCCAGACACGCGTGCGTCTTGCAGGGGGACAGGAGGTCGGCAGACACAGACAGGTAAGAACAGGTGGGAGCATAGCACCTTGTCAATCGTAGCTTCCCCTACCGAACAAGCGAACTCAACTTTTTTTTTGGGGGGGGATCCAGGGCGCCAGCTCCTCCAGGGCATCAGCCGACGTCTTGAAGCCACCCATCAGAAACCGAGGAACAGACAAACCCCGAAGACGTAGACGATTCGAGTTTCCCCAGGGACTCCGGTGCCCGGGACCAGGTAGATGACGCCAAGTGCCACAGTGCACGACTTGAGACGCAACTCAAGGAAGAACCAGCATTCTCCAGAGCCAACCTGCACTGCACCCATTGCGTGAATGAGACACTTTCGAAAGCGCAACTGGGGCGCTGAACCGCAGCCGCAAGTCCACCATGGGCGCCTCCGCCTGGCGAAGGGAGTGCATCCTGGAAGTGCGTGGGCCACTTCATTTGGCGACGCGTCTTCTTGGCGCATCCATGCACTAAGAAGACGCGTCAACCATGAATGCTCCGTCCACCTCGGAAACCATAGCTGCTAACAAATCTTGCGCGAGCTTAGACCACTCCGTGATAGTCGCAAACTCGCAAGTCATATGCTTGACCGCCTCTCGAGGGAGAGGAGAAGAGCACTCGCGCGGCTGACGCTGCGTCTCTTGGCAGGTGGCAGCGCGCGCCACCTCTCGAGGAACAGGAGAAGAGCACGCGGGCAGCCGACTCTCTGTCCCTTGGCAGGCGGCAGCACGCGCCACTTCACGAGGAAGAGGAGGCGATAACTCATGCGGCCGACTCTCCGTCCTTGCCAGGCAGCAGCGCGAGTGGGAAGGGAAAGGCTAAACACGATGCCGAGGGTGGGCAGAGGCCGCAGCAGCCTCGTCAGCGGTACCTGAATGGCCAGCGCCTCCGATCGGAACATTGCCAGGTCCAAACCGATCCATCTGCTTGGCAGTGGCGCTGCAGAACGCGCGGCACATGTTGCAGGCGACCGACTCAGCAACGCGCGCATGTTTGACAGACTTTGCCACGAGCCGCTTCTGGAGCAGGTGGGTGTAGTCTTTGGCGGCGGCCGCATCAAGGCCTCCGCCAGCCGCGCGCTTCTGGAGCTCGCGGAACTGGTCACGCCCCGCAGGCCCCAGCTCGTCGATGCCAACTTCAGAACCGAGGTCCGAGAAATCGCCATTCTGCTGAACGCCTCGCTTAAGATGGAACTGGTACTGCTTCCACTGGGCAAGCTGGATACCTGCGCACTGAACCGAAAAGTCGAGGGTAGCGTCGTCGAAGTCCTGGAGATGGGCCTCGACGCACGCGAAGTCGACCAGGCGACCGCGAAGCCAAGGCACATCAGGAGGCACATCCTCATCAGCCGCTGCCATGACCACGTCGGCCGTGCACGCTGCGGCGCCAGCTGGCACGGCCGCCGCAGGCTGCTGCGCACCTGCTGCAGCAACGCCAGAGAGACCGCCACCACCAGGAACAGCATGTACAGCAGCAGCTGCACGTTGCCGGTTTTGCTCAGCACGTTGAGCCCGGACATCTTCGACCTTCGCACCCTTGACGACTGCAGGGTCGAACGTATTCTTCTCATGCTCAGCCTGGCGACTGAAGGCCTTGGTCTCCTCTAGGGCCTGCAACGCTTGTACATGATTCTGCTCTTTCTCCTCAAGGACCGTCTTGGCATTTTGCGAAGTGCTGAAGCCTCCACTGCACTTCCTGGACAGCGAGGCGCTCGTTCTTGGTCGCGCTCTCCATTTTCTTCGCCAGCGCAATCTGCTCCGCCGACGCGAGCCTGTCCAGGTCCTGCCCCGAGTAGTCAACCACGACCTCGGGCGTCGGCATTGAGGCTTGCTGGACCACGCCCACCAACTGCGGGTAGAAAGGGGCCTAGGTCTGCAGCGCCTGGAGGAGCTCTGGTGGCATAGGCGCGGGCGCCGCAGCAGCACCCTGCACACCCTGCTGTGTCGGTGGAGAGCCTCTAGTCGACTTGCCATTCTTGCCCATCTGCACATTGGTGGTGAGGTCAACATACGGGCACGAACACTTGCTGCACTGCTGGTGCCCGTATCTGGTGTACTCCCAATGCCCGCATGTGCTGCACACGCAGTAGGAGTTGTCATTCGTTTTCTTGGGCTTCTCTGGCGGCCTCCATCGCCATGATCCACCCCCAGAGCCATCACGCCAAGGAGGACGACGGCGCCACGCCATGGTGGGGACACAGCTGCCGCGGTGCCCGAAGAGCACTTGGAAATCGCGCTCACGGCGCAGACGCCCCCGTCGCCTCAGCCCTACGCCGCCGCTGGCGACGGTGCCAGGCAGGGGAGCGCGCACGGGCCGTGGTGGCGCTGGGGGCAATCGCTGGCGGGCCGCACGGCCCGGGGCAAAACGGCTGCGCGGGCCCCGCGGCGAGCCACCTTGAGCCAAAATTGCTACGGGGAGGAGGAGGAGGAGGAGGAGGAGGAGGAGGAGGAGGAGGAGGAGGAGGAGGAGGCTCGTCAGACCTGGGTCGGGGGACCTGTCCGCGGCAGGGGTTCGCCGCGGCCAGAGGAGAGATCCCCCTCGTCCCTCCCGCGGCGTTCTCATCGGGGCAGCACAGCTCGCTCTACGAGAGCTGCCGCGCCGTGCCCTGGGGCGCCGCCCTTCCCTCCTCCTCCTCCGTCTCCTCCTCCTCCTCCTCCTCCTCCTCCTCCTCTTCCTTTTCCTCCTCCTCCTCCTCCGCCTGCTCCTCCTCTTCGTCCGGGGGGGGGGGGGGGCCCCGCCCGAGGAGGCCCGCCTCCGCCAGCAACATGTCAAAGAAGTGGATCAAGAAGGGGTCCGAGGCCGAGGTGGGAGCGGACGCCCCTGCACAGGAGGCCCGGGCTGCTCGAGCCGGCCGTGCGCAGAAGGGGGGCAGGGGGTAGGGGGGGGGTAGGGGCAGGGGGAGATGAGGAGGAGGAGGAGGAGGAGGAGGAGGAGGAGGAGGAGGAGGAGGAGGAGGAGGAGGAGGAGGAGGAGGAGGAGGAGGAGGAGGAGGAGGAGGAGGAGGAGGAGGGGAGGAGGAGGAGGAGGAGGAGGAGGAGGAGGAGGAGGAGGAGTGGGCGTGGGCCGGCATACGGACGGGGTCGCTGTGGCCGAAGGTTGAGCTCGCCGAGGGGCACGGATTGTGCGAGGGTCCCGACGCGGGGATTGATCCATAACCGCCACCTGGGGGCTTGATATTCGGAGACATCGGAAGGCTGTGGATATCGGTATAATCGTTCTAGGCCTCCTAGATGGGGTCCGAGTAGATGGGACTGGAGGATCGCGCCGCATCGCCGATGCATCGACGATGCGGCTCGATATGGAGCCCGTGTTTCCCCACGCCGACGCCGCCGATGCATCGCCGAAGTCGCCGGTGCCCCCCCTGGGCAAGAGTGTATCCGTATCCACCGTCCGCTGGGGTCTCAGGGCGTCGGCTCCACGGGCGGGGGGCGGGGATATATATATATATATATATATATATATGTATATATATATATATATTATATATGTATATACATACACATATTTTAATATATATATATATATATATCACTATGTATGTATATGTATATGTGTATGTATATATATACGTATATCTATATCTATATCTATATATATATATATATATATATGTATCCGCCTCGCAGGGGACGGCATGCGGGCCCCGTCTCTGGAGCAGCAGGTGGAGCTCCGTGTCGGGCGCGAGGCGTGTGAGGGGCGTGGCAATGTTGGCGGGGTGGCTCTAGGCCTCCCAGATGGGGTCGGAGCAGATGGAGTCGGAGGATCGCGCCGCATCGCGGATGCATCGGCGATGCATTGGCGATGCATCGGCGATGCGGCTCGATGCGGGGCCCAATTTTCTCAACGCCGACGTCGCCGATGCACCGCCGACGTCGCCAGTGCATCGCCGATGCATCGGCAATGCGGCGAGATTCTCCGACCCCATCTACTCGGACCCCATTTAGGAGGCCTCTAGTGGTGTGATGCGGTATTTGCCGCTGGGGCCGTATGTTAGGATGCAGCTCCTGGGACGTTTACAACAACATCGTCGCTGGTAGATCCGTGAGCAAAAACCGGGCCAATCTGGCATCATCCCGCTCAATTCGGGGCAGTCCCGTTAAATCTGGCTAGTGTCAGGATTATGTTCGGGCAGTCCAGCTTAGTTGGCTTTTAATATGGATGCAGAGCTTTGAACCGTTCTTACGAAGACCGCCCAGGGGCTGCCTCCTAACGTATGTCGAGCTCCCTTGAGGAAGCGACACGTGGCAGAGGTGTGCTGAGATGGTCGGGGGGTAAGGGCCTTCCCCGGGGAAGGGTGCATGCGGACTGTGTCGCTGGAGCAGTAGAGCTCCCTGAGAGACACGAAACGTGCGAGGCGTGTTCCGAAATTGGTGGGGAGTTGCGATGTACACGCCGGGCATGGCAGGCCATCCCCAGCGTATTGCATAGTGTTGTGGTTTCTCGGCCATGTAAGGAGGGGGCTCGGCATGGGGGCTGGTGGGGATGTGGGGCCCCGGGAGTCTGATAAAAGTGCAGACAGGCATGAATTCATGTCGTTCCGCCCGTCAGGCGAGGAGTGATGCAAAGTTTCCAGGCGTGGCAAAGTGAATGGATAATGGGAGCAATATTTTTGCGTAAGATGACCGAGCATGTTTTTTTTCATAACATGTACATTGTCCTTTTTCTCGGTACCTTGGCATGCTTCCATGTAGGTCCCATCCCAATGTGTCCACTATCATCCGAGTTCCAACAAACGGCTGCTCTCACCGCGGTTACCCAAGTGTCGTTGTCATCATCTTCGCCATATGTTCGTCTTCGCCGTATTTGCGCCAGCGTCGTGACATTGTTATTAATCTGGCTGGCCAAGCACACTCGTCGAAACAAGTGGGATTGCAGAGTGTCCAAGGTAAGCCTGACATGTTACGGTACTGAACAGAGTGCGGGCAGGTGGGGCTTGCGACAAACATTGGGAGGTTCTTTGAGAGGATCGGAGCCCCTCTTGTCTCATCTCTGGAACTGCCCAGTTCAGATGTTCCTCATGTTCTCGGGAACATTGCCCGCTTGCTTGGCACCGCCAGGATTTTTATAGTGTGGGGACGTTCGGAAGCCGCGGAGCGAGAGCACATGTCCCATGGCTGCTCTCGAGCGTCGTTTCTCTTGTTGAATCAGGCTGCGGACGAGCCGATCACGTCCCCCTTGCTGCTGGAGAAATTCGCCGGCCCCACCTACGACAAAGTATTTTTGCTCGGTCTTGCCACCGCCATCAAGAAAGCGAGCAAGGAGGGTGGGGCACGGCAGCCGAGCCGGTCTGTATTCGGGCAGCGTGGTTTTGGCGAGCGCAGCGTTGAACGAGTTCTTGTCTGACCAGGCTCGGTTCAGCATTCGCAGAAGGCATTTATCAGAGTGAGGGGCCCGAGCGCTATCACACAGTCACTCGATGCGTGGCTGAAGTGGGTTCCCCAGTGCGGATTGTCGTCGTTGTTGTTTGTCATCCCTGCCCCGCGACCCACTTACGATCCGCCCCGCGACTCATCCGCGACCCACCCCGCGACCCACCTGCGACCCACCCGCGACTCACGATCTCACTGTTGACCCACCCGCGACCCAACCGCGACTCACCTCTCACCCACCCGCGACCTTCCCGCGACCCACCCACACGTGATCCCCTACGCAATTCACCACGCAACCATCGACCCATCTGCGACCCATTCCCGACCCACCCTTGACACACCCGCGACCAATCTGCGATCCAGCCATGACCCGCCATGCGACTCAACCCGCGACACGCCCGCGACCCACCCGCGTTGTTTTTCCCAACCCTCCTGCGTTGGGTTCTCGTTTTGAATAGAGCACTGCTCGCGCCTTCCCACCCCCTCCCGTCCCTCTCTTCCCCCCTGCCTTTTACCTGGCTCGTCGCTGCGTTTCGAGGGCTGCTGGGGGCTGCGATCTGTGAAACTGTCGCCACTTTCGAGGGCTGCTGGGGGGCCCAGCACAGTGTGCACCCGCGGCGGATTCAAATGGGACCTCGCCATCCCTGGGGGGCTGCGATCTGTGAAACTGTCGCCACTTTCGAGGGCTGCTGGGGGGCCCAGCACAGTGTGCACCCGCGGCGGATTCAAATGGGACCTCGCCATCCCTGGGGGGCTGCGATCTGTGAAACTGTCGCCACTTTCGAGGGCTGCTGGGGGGCCCAGCACAGTGGGTACCCACGGCGGATTCAAATGGGACCTCGCCATCCCTGGGGGGCTGCGATCTGTGAAACTGTCGCCACTTTCGAGGGCTGCTGGGGGGCCCAGCACAGTGGGTACCCACGGCGGATTCAACTTTCGATTGGCCCTCGCCATCCTGGGGGGCTGCGATCTGTGAAACTGTCGCCCCTTTCGAGGCCTGCTGGGGGGCCCAGCACAGTGTGCACCCGCGGCGGATTCAAGTGTGACCTCGCCATCCCTGGGGGGCTGCGCTCTGTGAAACTGTCGCCCCTTTCGAGGCCTGCTGGGGGGCCCAGCACAGTGTGCACCCGCGGCGGATTCAAGTGTGACCTCGCCATCCCTGGGGGGCTGCGCTCTGTGAAACTGTCGCCACTTTCGAGGGCTGCTGGGGGGCCCAGCACAGTGTGCACCCGCGGCGGATTCAAGTGGGACCTCACCATCCCTGGGGGGCTGCGATCTGTGAAACTGTCGCCACTTTCGAGGCCTGCTGGGGGGCCCAGCACAGTGGGCTTCCCGCAGCCTGCTCTTCGTTCCCGACTCACCATGTCCTCTTCGAGCCTGTAGTTGTCGCCCCTCGTTCTTGTATGGTTCTCCTGCGCATCATTCCATTGGCGCGTGTCCCAAGTAGCTTACATATCAAACAACGGATCCTGCAATTTGATTGTCCGTGCAAGTTTCGGCCAACTCCTCGTTTCCCATGGTACAAATGGGTTGGGTACGTCACAGGGTAATGCTTAAGAATGGCGCATGTGTTGGGCTCGCCGTTGGTCCAACCCAAACAAAATGAGCCTGACGAGGAACCCTCCCTTTTCTCAGCAACGTTGGTGATGAACCTATATATGCACGATCCGTGTGAGGGATGAGCCGAAATGAAGGGGGCGCATGCAAACGTTCCCGCTGGAGACTTGGGCGGGCGCGGTACACTGGCAACGTCGACAACGGTACACACGAGGATCATACTAGTGATGTTGGTGACGATGATAACAACGACGACGGCAAGGCCAGTGACGGCGCCGAGGCTGATCACGCCGACGACGATGACCGCGTCTTCGCATCGGTGATTAATGTTTTGGAAGGAGTTCGACATACTCGCGCGGTCGACGCGCGAGAGTGGCCCGCATGGTATCATTTGCCAGGGATCGTGCCTCCCCAGCACGCGCGCAAGGGCGTTCGAATGATTTTGACATGCGGCATGCGGCACGAGCCGCCCGTTTGGCCGAAGTGAACCAGGCTTTTGGAACACGTTGCAACACCGTGCGTTGGTGTATGTTTCCGGGGCACTCGGTTATGGCATCCCTGCGACACCTTCGGATGTTGAAGGATTTCGGCATGCGCGCGCAACGACGCGCGCTCGTGCACCTCGCCCCATCTGTTGCAAGGGATTCTTGCGGCAGCACGCGCGCAAGGGCGTCCGAGCAATGTCGACACGCCAGCGCGAGAGGCAAGTTTGGTAGCATTTTAGGAACATGCGGACAACACACCCGTAGTTTTCGAAAGAATTCGCAAGAGGGCGGGCGCAGGTTTTTCCCCAACCATCCTGTGGTGTTGGGTCCTCGTTCTCCTCCTCCCGCCTCCTTCCTCCTCCCCCTCCTCCCTCCTCCCCCTCCTCCCCCTCCTTCCTCCCTGCGCTTCGCCCTCCTAGTACAGCGTTTTGTGGCCCCATAGGGAGCTCCACCGAAGGCCCCAGTGCCACCGCCCGCATGCGTCACCCACACCCATTCCGGCACACCCCTCACACGTATCGTAGCCCCATACGGAACTCCACCGAAGGCCCCAGTGCCACCGCCCGCATGCGTCACCCACCCCCATGTCGGAACACCTCTCACACGTTTCGTGGCCCCATTTGCAGCTCCACCAAACGCCATTGTGCCACCGCTCGCATGCGTCACTCCCACCCATGCCGGCACACCCCTCACACGTTTCGTGGCCCCACAGGGAATTCCACCGAAGGCCCCAGTGCCACCGCCCGCATGCGTCACCCACACCCATTTCGTCACACCCCTCACGCGCTTCGTGGCCCCATAGGGAGCTCCACCGACGGCGCCAGTGCCACCGCCCGCGTCCGCATGCGTCACCCACACCCATTGCGGCACACCCCTCACACGTTTCGTGACCCCACAGGGAACTCCAACGAAGGCCCCAGTGCCACCGCCCGCATGCGTCACCCACACCAATTTCGTCACACCACTCACACGTTTCGTGGCCCCACAGGGAACTCCACCCAAGGCCCCAGTGCCACCGCCCGCATGCGTCACGTTTATTTCGGCACACCCCTCACACGCTTCGTGGCCCCATAGGGAACTCCACCGAAGGCGCCGGTTCCACCGCCCGCATGCGTCACCCACACCCATTTCGGCACACCCCTCACACTTTTCGTGGCCCCACAGTGAGCTCCACTGAAGGCCCCAGTGCCGCCGCTCGCACGCGTCACCCACACCCATGTCGGCACACCCCTCACACGTTTCGTGCCCCCATTGGGAGCTTCATCGAAAGGTCCTGGTGCACCCGCCCGCATGCGTTACCCACGCACATTCCAGGTCACCCCACACGCGTTTCGTGGCCCCATAGGGAGGTCCACCGAAGGCACCAGTGGTTGCGTTCGCACGCGCCCACCGCACCCATTTCGGCACACCCATCACACGTTTCGCGGCCCTAAAGGGAGCTCCACCGACGGCCCCAGTGGCTGCGTTCGCATGCGCCCACCGCACCTGTTTCGGCACTCCTCTCACGCGTTTCGTGGCCCCACAGGGAGTTCCACCGACGGCCCTAGTGGCTGCTTTCGCATGCGCCCACCGAACAAATTTGGGCACACCCCTCACACGTTTCGTGGCCCGATAGGGAGCTCTTCCGAATGCGGTGCGCAGAGCGACGGTATTCACAATTGCATATGGTTGGGTCTTCCGCCAGGCTAATTTTGACAACTCGTGTTTCGAAACCATGTGCTTTTCCCCAACCATCCTGTGGTGTTGGGTCTCGTTTTGAAGAAACAGCACCCTGCGTAACTCACGCCTCCTCGCCCCCCCCTCCACCGCCCGCAAGCGTCACCCCCACCCATTTCGGCACACCCCTCACACGTTTCGTGGCCCCATGGGGAGCTCCACCAGCAGGCCCCGGTGCCACGGCCCGCATGCGTCACCTACGTACAATCCGGGACACCCCTCACACGTTTCGTGGCCCCATAGGGAACTCCAACGACAGCGCCAGTGCCACCGCCCGCATGCGTCACCCACACCCATTTCGGCACGCCTCTCACACGTTTCGTGGCCCCATTGGCAGCTCCACCAAACGCCATTGTGCCACCGCCCGCATGCGTCACTCGCACCCATGGCGGCACACCCCTCACACGCTTCGTGGCCCCATAGGGAGCTCCAACGAACAGGCACACCCCTCACACGCTTCGTGGCCCCATAGGGGGGTGAAACGAAGGACACAGTACCACCGCCCGCATGCGTCACCTGCACCCATTTCGGCATACCACTCACACGCTTCGTGCCCCCATAGTTAATTCCACTGAAGGCCCCTGTGCCACCGCCCGCATGCGTCACCCACACAAATTTCGGCACACCCCTCACACGTTTCGTGGCCCCATAGGGAACTCCAACGAAGGCCCCGGTGCCACCGCCCGCATGCGTCATCCGCACCCATTTCGGCACACCCATCACGCGTGTCGTGGCCTCATAGGGAGCTCCACCGACGGCGCCAGTGCCACTGCCCGCATGCGTCACCTACACCCATTTCGTCATACCCCTCACACGTTTCGTGGCCCCATGGGGAGCTCCAACGAAGGTCCTGATGCCGCCACACCCATTCCGGCACCCCCTCATGCGCTTCGTGGCCCCATGGGTAGCTCCACCGAAGGCGACAGCGGCTGCGTTCGCATGCGCCCACCGCACAAATTTCGGCACACCCATCAAACGCTTCGCGGCCCCATAAAGAGCCCCACCGACGGCTTCAGTGGCTGCGTTCGCAGGCGTCCACCGCACCTGTTCCTGCACCCCCCTCACGCGTTTCGTGGCCCCACGAGGATTTCCACCGACAGCCCCAGTGACTGCTTTCGCACGCGCCCACCGCACCCACTTCGGCGCACCCATCACGCGCTTCGCGACGCGACCTTATAATAGGGAACTCCACCGACTGCCCCAGTGGCTGCGTTGGCATGCGCCGACCGCATCTATTCTGGCACTCCTCTCGCGCGCTTCGTGGCCCCATAGGGAGCTCCACCGACGGCCCCAGTGGCTGCTTTCGCATGCGCCCACCTGACAAATTTCGGCACTCCCCTCACACGTTTCGTGGCCCTATAGGGAACCCTTCAGATTGCGGTGCGTACAACGACGGTATTCACAACTGCATATGGCTGGGTCTTTCTCCAGGCTAATATATTGTTTGTGACATTCGATATCGAAGTCCTTACCACACCTAAAGTCGGCATTTCCGCTCGACGACGCGCGCGTGTGCAATTCGTGCAGCTTTGACTTGTTAATTTTGAGGAACGATTGCGCGCGCATGAAAATTCTTTACGGAGGATGAGGGTGGGGGGCGATACAGGCTTAGCTGGGATTCCACGGTTTCAGATTTAGCCAGGGCACGTGCGCATCAGGTGCGCATATCAAGCATGAAATTGCAATACGCGAAGGGGTACCGTTAAGTCCAGGGGGAGGGCGGGGGGGGGAGCGCTTACATGTCTTAAAAATGAAAAAAAACTAGTGTACCGCTCGCGCAATCATCCCACCCACCCACCCGAAATTTGGTTTGCAAAACCCATGCGGCGGCAATTGCGATGAGTGCTCGGTGTTGGCTGGTGCATCTGTGCAACCGCGCTATCCCGCGCATGCTCTCGCGCACACCAGCCAGCCAGTTTGGCGCGACCGACGCGGTCGCGGTCGCGCTGACCGCTGGGCACTCCCCAGTGGGCAGCTCAATGCGAGTCGCAGACTTGGGCGGGCGCGGTATCATGGCGACGCCGACAACGGTGGACACGATCATGATAGTAACGATGATGGTGGCGATGGTGGCGATGGCGACGGCAAGGCCAATGACGTCGCCGATGCTAATCACGCCCGCCGGCGACAATGACAGTATCGTCGCGCTGTCATGAATGTTTCGGAAAAATTCGACGAGCGCGCGGCCGACGCGCGCGAGTGGCACGCATGGGCCGCATGGTCGTATTTGCTAGTGAGCGCGCCCCCCCCTGCGCGCGCAAGAGCATTTGAATGATTCTGACATGCAGCGCGAGAGGCACGTTTGGTAACATTTCATGAAGATATAGAAAAACCTGATGATGTTCCTCGCTCTTGCGCGCTCTTGCGCGCCTCGCAAGAGCGCGCGCATTCTTGGGGGGATAGGATGTTGCGAAACCAGAAGCTGTTTTTCTTCATATGTTTTCGGGACACACGATGCTGAACCCTCTGCGACACCAGCGGTTTTTGAAGGATTCCGGCAGACGCGCGCGACGACGAGAGGGGGGTGATGAAGGTTCCAGTTGGGATGGTGTGAGTTCAAGGTTCGGTTGCAGGGGGGAGAACCATACATCGTATTATCCCAGCGGGAAGCGATACAACTGGGGGGGTAGGTCCTCATTTGTTATGGGACGGGAAGTTGTAGACGATGTCATGTACGTTAAGCCATTTAAGCTGCGACGGGGCGGCGTCGGCGACAACATATCCGCAAAGCCGGCAATCAGGCCCAGACGACGGGCGGCCAGGGGGCGGCGACGGCGGCAACATAGCCGCCAGACCGACAATCAGACCCACACGATGGGCGGCGACGGGGCGACGACGGCGGCCACATAGCCGCCAGACCGACAATCAGGCCCACACGACGGGCGGCGACGGCGGCGACATAGCCGACAGACCGACAATCAGGGCCAGTTTCTTAGAAGAGACGTCAGAAACCCTCAATGCAAGCACTGTTTGGGGAAGACAGTGCTCCAGTGCTGACGACGGCATCTGATTGATCGTCGTACCAGGCTTTGCGTGTTGAGCAGTCAGTTGCCGCATTTTGCTACGTTCGTAGCGTATGTGGATTGCGAGGGTTGACGTACATGTGTTGTGAGAGAGAGAGACAGAGAGAGAGAGAGAGAGACAGACAGACAGAAAGACAGACAGACAGACAGACAGACAGACAGACAGACAGACAGACAGACAGACAGACAGACCGACAGAGAACAGAGAACAGAGAGAGAGAGGGAATACCAGAGGCAGATAGCTAGAAAGAGAGAGAGAGAGAGAGAGAGAAAAAAAAGAGAGATCTTACATACGAGAGGGAGAGGAACGAAAGGCAAATTCCACGCACGAGGGGACTATCTCAGAGTTCGCCAGACAGACGTGCGCAAACACATAAAACCAAAGACACTTATACGCAGGCGAATGGTTAAACGCAGACAGACGGGCACGGGCAGACAGACGGATACGCATCTCTGTTGGCAGCAAACGGTCACACAGACGAATGAAGAGTCACAGAGTCAGAGTGACAGAGTGTCATCGCACAGCCAGGCATAGATCTATACATATCTGTGTGTGTCTGCGTGTGTATGTAGATGTGTATAGCTTTATGAGTCTATTCAGGGCTTACGGCCCAACTCCATGCCGTGCGTTGGTTGCGAGCTTGAGGCGTGACGGATGCCAGCCACCATTCTTTCGGATGCTTCTCGGGGGCCTCGTGGAATGCACCCTTTTTGAATGCAATGCTTGTTGACGATGGCTCAAGAAACATGTTTTCCATTCCCAACCATCATGTGGTGTTGGGTCCTCGTTTTGACGAAACGGTCCCCGTGTTCGTCCTTCCTTCTTCCTCCCCCTCCTTCTCCCCCCATCATCATTGTCATCACCCGTTTGAGCACAACCCTCACACGCTTCGTGGCCCCATAGGGAGCTCCACCGAAGGCCCAAGTGCTACCGCCCGCATGCGTCACACCCGCCCAGTGCAGCGTTCCGTGGCCTCCCAGGGAGCTCCAACGAAGGCCCCAGTGACACCACCCGCATGCGTCACACCCACCCAGTGCAGCTCTTCGCGGCCCCATAGGGAGCTCCACCGACGACCCCAGCGGCATCGCCCGCATGCGCCACCCCCACCAGCGTTTCATGGCCCCTTTAGGAGCTCCGCCGAAGGCCCCAGTGGCACCGCCTGCATGCGTCACCTCCACCCAGTACAGCGTTTCGTGGCCGCACAGGGAGCTCCGCCGAAGGCCCCAGGGGCACAGCCCGCATGCGTCACCCCCCACCCAGTACAGCACTTCGTGGCCCCCGACGGCCCTAGTGGCTGCTTTCGCATGCGTCACCCCCATCCAACACAGCGTTCCGTGGCCTGATAGGGAGCTCCACCGAAGGCCCCAGTGGATGCACTCCCATGCGTCACCCCCGCCCAGTGCAGCGCTTCGTGGCCCCATAGGGAGCTCCACCGAAGGCCCCAGTGACACCACCCGCATGCGTCGCACCCATCCAGTGCAGCGTTTCGTGACCCCATAGGGAGCTCCACCGAAGGCCCCAGTGGCACCGCCCGCATGCGCCACCCCCACCCAGCACATGCTTCTTGGCACCATAGGGAGCTCCACCTAAGGCCCTAGTGGATGCACTCGCATGCGTCACCCCCGCCCAGTGCAGCGTTTCGTGGCCCCATAGGGAGCTCCACCGAAGGCCCCAGTGGCACCTCCCGCATGTGCTGCCCCCACCCAGCACAGCGATTCGTGGCCTCACGGGGAGCTGTACCGAAGGGCCCGATGGCTGGTTTTGCATGCGCTTCCCCTTCCCATTACACACCGTTTCGTTTCCCCAGAAGGAGCTCCACCGATGGCCCCAGTGGCGGCCCCGCCTCACTGCTGCGCACCCGTCACACTTTTCGCCGCCCCGTAGTGAGTTACGCCTAAAAGCACCAGTGGCAGCGCCCAGATGGCGGCCCCGCGCCACATCGGCACACTTTTCGCAGGCTTCATCGCCTCGTTAAAAGATCCCCCGAAGGCGATACCCGCAACGACGGTATTCAGAACTGCATATGGTTGGGTCTGCCGCCAGGATAACTCTCTAGTTTGGAAGTGGCGCGGGGAACGCCCTGTGAATGCCCAGGAGCGACCGGAACTCGGGAGTGTGGGCCCCCTGAAAGTCGTTCATTGTTCAAGACACAGGGGCCGAGGGAACCAGAGCACGCTATACTCGGTGCCCACGGCGCAGTGGCGGAGACATGCACACGTATGTATGTACGCATCTGCACGTATACACATATATGCATGCAAGCATGCATCCATACACACATACACACATACACGCATACACACATACGCATACACACATGCATACATACATGCATGCATGTTTGCATGCATACATAGATAAATACATACACCCATACGCACATACCTACGTATATGTGCACATACAGACAGACAGACATGCATACATATATGCATACACACATACACGCATGCATACATACGTACATACATACAAACATACATACACATACACATACTTACTTACATACGTACATAGTTACGTACGTACATCCGTACATACATAGAAACACACGTGCATATATACATACGTACAAGCACACACGCATGTGTTAACGTCCGCATGCAGGCATACATACATACACACATGCATGCATGCCTACATACACACATCCGTACACACATACATACCTACATACGTACATACATACACACATACATACATACAGGCATACATGCCTGCGTACATACGTTCTTCATACAAACATGCACTGTCACATACATACGTACATGCATGCATGCATGCATGCATGCATGCATACACACATGAACATTGACATACGCAAATAATATACATAGACATATATATGTATGTGTGTAGGTGCACAGAGAGAAAAAGGACGGAGAGGTGTTCGCTTGAAGGTGTGGACGCGCGAGGGGAGGTTCCCGGAGCTGACGAGCAGCCGTCCGTCGCACGCGAGGCGCCGCTCGGACTCGCCCGTGCGCGCGCGCCGACCGGGGGCGAGGGTTGGAGGGGTGTAGCTGTGGCATGAGGATCGGCTGCCTGACCGCCGTCTGCTGCGCGCACCCGTCCACATTTCCCTGCGGTCCTCTGCGATGGACCATGCTCGCACTCGCGTTGCATGCGTTTTGGCCTCCTTCGGTCCGCGTGCCGTGCCTCGCTCGGTTCTGTGTTGATGCACCCTCCGGGGCCCCAGGCTTCTGGATCCTGCCCGTTCACACATCGCATCGTGAAGAAAGCAGTGTGGACAAGGTAGTTTCTGGCGATTCCAGCCGGTTGGCAGCAGTGCGCTCGAGAAGTCGGATCCAATGGAAAGCCCAACATTATGCATACATTTAAAAGCATTGAGTGTTTCCAGCGAGCGTGACCTGAATCCGAGAGATGTGGCTTTGTTGTGCCCGAAAGCCCGAGAGATGTCTCTCCGCTTCTTGGTAGTCATCGACACGAGCCAACGTTTTTTTCCGCCACCGTACTGCAGAAGTCAATGATTCAGAGAGATGGTTGATTCACAACTCTATTCACGAAGGGGCCCTTGAGGATGTCTTTTCTTATGGGAAGATAAGCACACGCGACTGCGGTGCAGGCGTTGGTCAAAGAAGGCGCGTCTAATTTGCGAGGCCTTGCCGCGTGTGCACGAGTGGATGAGGGGATGCGCATGATTCGGTGAGCTCCTGTGAAGTTGCGAACCAGTTGGGGCGATTGAGGCTGCTCTTCGCAGGAGGCCTGATGATTACAGTGCGAAGTGGATATGCGTCTGCCGCGCAGTTGCATCCTTACGTATCATGTTCGTTGTGGCAAGCAGTCTGGCCAGTGGTGCCCGAGCTTGAAGAATGCAATCGCCCTCCTGTCTATGTCGGCTGCATTCGTACCGACGGCGCTTGGCGAGCCCCGTGACTGATCTGTTGTCAGTCCCCCGGCCAGTTCCTCTCGCACATGTGAACGACGCAAGAAACAGTTGGGTCGTCTCCGCCCACGTTGACGCGTAGGCTCCCCGCGCAAGGTCGTGCGTAAGCGCCCCCTTCTCCAGTGTGGCGTGCCGCGCCAGCGGCTCGCGGAAGCCGCCGCGTAAGGTCGTTGCGTCATCTCGCATAAGACCTGTTTGCTCGGATGCAGCTCTGGCCAGGTCAAATTCTGATTTTGCCCTGGTCCGAAATCCGTCCGTCTCAATCCCGCTCAATCTCGCTTAATCCAGATCTACCCCCGCTGTATCCGAGGCCTGGTTTGGCGAAGCAGCCCCCCAATGGAGCTCAATTCGTTCTAATCCTTCCGACGAAGACCTCCCAGCAGCTGCCTCCTCATGTTTGTTTTCGTCGCTCACGTGTCGGCTCGTTGTTCGGACCGCGCCTGCGGCCACGGACGGCCTGGGCCCCACAGCGCCGCCACGTCCGAGCGTGCCCTCGCGGTGGCCTCGCTTCGTGCGTATCGCGCGGGCGCAGCGCGGGCTTCTGTCGCGCCCGCGGCCCAGCAGAGAGAGCGGCTCCCTCACCTGCTCCTCGTTCGGAAACATGGATCCGCCAGCGGAGGAGGAGAAGGAGGAGGAGGAGGAGGAGGAGGAAGAGGAGGAGGAGGAGGGGGTGAGGAGGAGGAGGAGGAAGAGGAGGAGGAGGAGAACCTGTGTAAACCCCAGAGTCATCAACGATGTTGGAATAAACCCTCCCTCCAAGCGCCCTCCTCAGAGGCCCCTACAAGGGTTCATTTCCACTGAGGGAACTGCTTCGTTGGAAGACAACCATTTGAAGTCCCTGACACATGCCAAAACAACATTCTCGGGCCTCCAACGCCACGGATTAACTTGACTGTTGTCTTGACGATCCTGAATCGTACCAGAACTCCGTTCTTGGGATTTCAAAGCCGCGAATCGACATAATTGTTGCGCCCTCATAATCCAGAATCCTTCCAAAACGCCATGCCTTGTACCCTGATCATGGGATTCCGTGAAACTCTTGCACATGTTTAAAAAGAATGCGCGCGGTGCTAAGGCGAGAGCCACATTGTGAAAAATAACCGCACCGCCCTCAATCCGTGAAACTCTTGCGATGCTTTGGAACGAGTGTGCGCGGCGCTCAGGCGAGAGCCGCACTTTGAAAAACACCCGCCCTTCATGTGTGAAATTGATGTAAAATGTTGAGCTTCAGGGTCATGAATGGTGAGGAATGCTCAGGCGAAACGCCGTACCGCCCTAAAAACTTGCCTCCGGTGCGACAGGGAGAAGTCATTTTAAGGAAAAGTAAAGGAGGAGGAGGGGGAGGAGGAGGAGGAGGACGAGGAGGAGGAGGAGGAGGCGGAGAAGTAGGAGGAGGAAATGGAGGAAATGGAGGAGAAGGAGGAGGATGAGGAGAAGGAGGAGGAGCGGGGGGGAGGGAGCTTCGCATCACGTGACGAAAGCCCCCATACCCCTCCCCTCAGAACAGCAACAGGCGACCCTGCCTGAGGCTCTCCGACTCCCGGCGGCCGCGCTTGCGTCCAAAGGCCCCTTTGCTCCTCCTCCTCCTTCTTTTTATCCTTCTCCTCCTACTCCTCCTCATCCTTCTCCTCCTCCTCCATCACTTCCTCCACCCCACCTCCTCCGTCCTCCCTCCCTCGCCATTCCCGAATATCCTCCTCCTCCTCCTCCTCCTCCTCCTCCTCCTCCTCCTCCTCCTCCTCCCGGTTTCCTTCTCCTCCATCATCCTTATCTTGCATCCTACATCCACCTCCTCCTGCACACCCCTCCTCAATCCTCCATCCTTCCTCCCATTTTTTTCGTCCCCGAACATGCTCCTCCTCCTCCTCCTCCTCCTCCTCCTCCTCCTCCTTCTCTTAGGTTTGCCGTGGGAGCGAGCGCTCTTTTCCTTCTCCTCCTTTCTCCTTCCCCCTTCCCCGTCCCCGAACAAGCTCCTCCTCCTCCTCCTCCTCCTCCTCCTCCTCATCCTCCTCCTCCTCCTCCTCCTCCTCCTCCTCCTCCTCCTCCTCCTCATCCTCCTCATCCTCCTCCTCCTCCGTCTTCTCCCCTCCCGCCCAGCCGCGCCCGCAGGTGTCGCTCACGGCCCGCCCCGACACCGGCCCGGGCGAGATGACCCCGGCCGAGCGCCGCGCGCAGCGGGAGGCGCTGAAGCAGGCGGCCAGATCGAAGCACGGGCCACGAGCCTCTCGGTACGACCAAAGTTGGTACAAAAGGAATCGGCTGCGCGTAAGGCCCAGACATGCCCGCGTCGTGAAAACCTCAGGACGGGAGTCTGCTCGTCGTTTTCGGCCCGTGGGGGCCCATGCTGGGCCTCGGGACCGTCAGAAGGGATTCAGGATGACAAACGGGTCCAGGGGAAAAGGTCGAGACCTCTGGGGGTCGACGTTCAGAAAAAGTCATGACGCCCGCGGTCTGGGAAGAGTGATCCTTCGCTGGACTGACCTTTGGTGCGGGGCCACAGGGGTCCCCCCAGCACCGGCTTGCGCGCTTGGATTTGGTCTCCCCACGTTAGCTTTTTGCCGTGCACCAGAGGTCATTCTTGCCTACGATCACTCTTGCGCGTAGCCGACAGAATTGGGGCGAAGGCCAACAGCAGTTGCTGTTCATTTTGAACCGGATTCGCTGTCTGTGTCGCCGCGGGCGTTGCCCATTTGAGACTCAAGCTGGCCTGCCCCACAGCGGACGCATCATGTTTTTCGCAACACTCTTGCGTTGGGTACTCGTTTTTAAAAGAGCACTGTGGTCGCATCCTCCTCCTCCTCTTCCTCCTCTTCCTTCTCCTCCTACTCCTCCTTCCCGCCTCCTCTCTTCCCTCCTCTCTATTCTCTGCTTTCCTTCTCCTCTCTTCGCTCCTCCTCTTCTCTCTTGCCGTTTGCCTGGTTAGCACTCGCCATCCTTGGAGGGCTGCGATCTGCGAAAGTGTCACCACTTTCGAGGGCTGCTGGTGGGTCCAGCGGAGTGAGGCACCGCCCAGATTCAGATTAGACCTCACCATCCTTGGGGGGCTGCGATCTGCGAAACTTTCGCCACTTTCGAGGGCTGTTGGGGGGTCAGCGGTGGGTCCAGCGGAGTGAGGGACCACTCAGATCCAGATTAGACCTCGCCATCCCTTGCGAAACTTTCGCCACTTTCGAGGGCTGTTGGGGGGTCCAGCGGAGTGAGGCATCACCCAGACTCAGATTAGACCTCGCCATCCCTGGGGGGGGGGCCGCGATCTGCGAAACTTTCGCCACTTTCGAGGGCTGCTGGCGGGTCCAGCGGAGTGATGCACCGCCCAGATTCAGATTTGACCTCACCATCCCTGGGGGACTGTGATCTGCGAAATTGTCGCCACTTTCGAGGGCTGCTGGTGGGTCCAGCGGAGTGAGGCCCCACCCAGACTCAGATTAGACCTCACCATCCCTGGGGGGCTGCGATCTGCGAAACTTTCGCCACTCTCGAGGGCTTCTGGGGGTTCCAGCGGGGCGCCGTCGCGGGCCGCACGCAGATTTGGCGGCGCTCCTTCGAACATTTAGCTCTCGCACTGATAAGTTCAGGAAGGGAGCAAGGACACTGGCGGGCGAGCTAGGCCTCGCTCGCTTCTTGAACTAACACTAAGCAGGTGCCATACTTTTGTCGAGCGCGGCGGCGACATGGTGCAGGCAGCGCTGCATCTTTAGCGTAACACAACCCTCGTCGGTCTCCTCCCGTCACTTTCGTCGTTGTCTTCTGCCCCTTGCCACCTTTCCTCTGCTGCTGCCGCGTTGACGGTTCGGCCCCCCACGCGTCTTTCTCTTGCCTTTCGTTCCCGCCCCCATGTCCTCTTCAAGATTGGGCCCTCGTCCTTGTTCCTTATGTTGTTGTCTTGTGGATCGTGCCACCTGGGCGCATCCCATGTAGCGTGCACATCCTATAACGGCGATTGTTCATTGTCCTGGCAAGTTTGGGCCACTCCTCTTGCCACTTGATGCACACGTGTTGGGTACGTCACAGTGCAATGTTCTAACATTCGTTGTTGGTCATCATACCCATTTCCCCTGTCCCCACTTCGGGTGCCCTAAACGGCCAGAGCGCTGCACGGAACACGAGCCTTGGGGGGGCACGTACATTCAAAGCGTTCATATTATAGGCGCTTCGCGTAGCCCCACCAGCCCATCCAGAAACAATGCCCAGACGAGATGTCCTGACCAGGATGAGGAAGAGCATGCAGTGAAATAGAGGGCTGGACAAGACGTCGTACCCCAAGGGGGAGAGGATGAGGACGAATCGGAGGAGAAGCATGACGAGGAGGAGGAGGAGGAGGAGGAGGAGGAGGAGGAGGAGGAGGAGGGAAATGGGGTAGAGGGAGGAGGTAGCAGGAAAGAGAAGGAACAGGTGGGCGAGGAAGATGAGGAGGAGAAGGAGGAGGAGGAGGAGGAGGAGGTGGAGGGCGAGCAGAAAGTCCAGAGGCCTCTTGGATGACTCTCGGAGTCTCTTCGATTTTCTGTTGGGAGCTTCTTGGGGTGCTCTTGGAGCGTCCTCGGGGTCGTTTGGCAGTCCCGAGGGACTCTTGAGGCGTCCTGGGTGCCTTTGGGGGTCTCTTCAAGCCTTTGGGGGGTCATTAAGAGCCTCTTGGGGGCATCTCGGTGGCTTCTAGGGGGCCTCTTGGGGCCTCCTGGGCGCCTCCTGGGGCCCTCTTGGGGCACCCTTGGGGGCTTCGGGGGTCATCTTGGGGCCATGTTGGAGGACATCGATCAAACGAAGGGGGCTTCTTGATTCGCCCCCCCTTCCCACCCCCCGGGCAAGCAAAACGTCATGATGGCGGCCTTCTCGCCGAGGTCTCTTGGGGCGTCTCGGGTGCCTTTGGGGGGCCTCTTGGGGCCTCTTGGGGGAGCAGGGGGACGGGAAGGCACGGTCGGGCAAGGGGGGCGGGGGCACGGTCGGTCGGTCGGAATATGCAGGCGGGAGGGCCACGGGGCGGAGGAGCGCGGGGGGGGGGGGGGGGGGGGCACGGTCGGTCGGTCGGCCAGACTGAGCAGACGGAGGGGTGCGGGGGGGAGCAGGGGGACGGGAAGGCACGGTCGGGCAAGGAGGGGCGGCACGGTCGGCCGGTCGGTCGGCACGGGCAGGCGGGGGACACGGGGCGAAGGGGGCGCGGGGGGGGGCAGGGGGACGGGGCACCGGTCGGTCGGTCGGTCGGAACAAGCAGGCCGGGGCCACGCGGCGGAGGGGTGCGTGGGGGAGCAGGGTGACGGGAAGGCACGGTTGGGGAAGGGGGGGGGGCACGGTCGGTCGGTCGGTCGGAATAGACGGGGGGGGAGCGGGGACGGCACGCGTCCCAACGCACATGTTGGCCCAGAGGCCCCAGTACACCCAGGCCACACCCCAGCACGTATCCCAGCAAACGAAGGCAGCACACATCCCAGCACGTATCCCAGCACACGGAGGCAGCACACAGCCCAGCACATATCCCAGCACACGGAGGCAGCACACAGCCCTGCATACATCCCGGCACACATCCCAGTCCAGCCCACATCCCAGGCACGGTCGGTTGGTCGGTCGAAATAATGCAGTGCGAGATCACACCGGTAGGTCTGCTAATACTTGTTTTTAGTAATGACAGTTCAACAACAGGAACAACACCAGCAACAACACTAATCATTTTAAGACTGTTCGCTCTTATCTGCTCGAGTGTCCGTTAACGCGTATTTCCAAAATCCTCGATACCCGCCCTCTTCGTCTTCGATCGTGCCCCTTTTTCGGGGGTGTACCCTTCTTCCCTGCAGGCCGGGCCCTGGCAAGCGGCGGGGCGGCCGCGGACCGTCTGCCTGGCCAGCGGCAGCTCTGATCGGCGGCAGCCCGACCCCAAGAGGGACGGACAGGGGACCGACCGCGACGACGACGACGACGACGACGACGAGCGAAAGCGAGAGCGAGAGAGAGAACGACAGCAGGGCCACGGAGGGCACGAAGTAGGCCACGAAGGGCGAGAGCGGGGACACGAAGGGAATGCGTATGGGGCTACGAAAAGCCCGAACGAGCAGGGGCCACGAAGGGCAGATAATGCAGGGCCACAGAAGGCAACGACGGGGTCACTGGGGGTAGCAACTGGGCTACGTCGGATAGCGAGGGGGCCACAAAGGGCGACGGCGGGGTCACGAAGGCTGCAACGGGGCCACGAAGGACAGCGAGGGGGCCACGAGGGGCTGCAACGGGGCTACACAGGGCAGCGAGGGGGCCGCGAGGGGCTGCAACGGGGCCACAAAGGGCAGCGAGAGGGGCCACGAAAGGCGGCAACGGGGCCACGAAAGAAGGGCAGCGAGGGGGCCACGAAAGGCTGCAACAGGGCCGCGAATTGCAGCGAGGGGGCCACGAAGGGCAGCGAGGGGGCCACGAAACAAAGCGAGGGGGCCGCGAAGGGCTGCAACGGGGCCGCGAAACAAAGACAGGGGCCCACGAAGGGCTGCAACGGGGCCACGAAAGGCAGCGAGGGGGCCACGAAGGGCTGCAACTGGTCCACGAAGGGCAGCGAGGAGGCCACGAAGGGCCGCAACGGGGCCCCGAAGAGCAGCGAGATCCCGGTTCCGAAGTACTCTGCGAGGGAATCCCGAGCGTGAGCGCGACTCCTGGGTGCCTGAGTGTCGGGAGCGCGGCGCTTGAGTAAATTGCGGGAAATTCCAACGCAAGGGCGCTATGCTTGAAAACGTCGCAAGCGAGTCTCCAGCGAGAGCGCGACTCCAGAGCGCCGAGAGCGATTCCTGCATAAATTGCAAGGAATTCCCAAGCTAGAGCGCGATTTCTGAATACAATGCGAGGAAGTCTCGGGCTGCACTGGGGGTCCTGGCTAAATTGTGATGGCGTTTTGGGCGGGAGCCGTTGTTATTGTAACTCGGGGGCCGGGGGCGCAGTTTGAGACAACATATTTTCCCCGATAGAAGCAAAAACAGGGTACGAGCGCCGGGAGGGCACTTCAACTGATGATATAGAATGAGTATCGGAGGGGGGATGAACAACACGTTCTCTTCAGTAGTGAGAGAACAAAAACAATAATACCAACGAACACAACAACAAACACATCAAAAACAACAACAACAGCAACAACAACAATCATTTTAAAGTTGTTCGCTCGTGCTGGCACGAGTGCCTTGCATTCCGTATACCCCAACCCTCGATACCCGCCTACTTCGTCCTCGATTTCACCCCCTTTCGGGGGGTATCTTTTCCATGTCAGTCAATGACTGAAGTGGGAAGTCGAGCGAGAGCGCCATTCCTGAGTTCGGGGGCCTCTCTGGCCAAAGGCTCTCGGAATACCGATGGACAAATATCGAACGGGAGCCTTTTGTCGCCGTGTTTGAGCCTCCACCAACTTGCCTGAATCACGGGAAAGTCTCGAGCGAAAGCGCCGTTCCTCGCAGATCCAAGAAGTCCGCGCAGATCCAGCGCAGATCCAAAAAGTCCGCGAGGAGCGCCAGAAGTTGTTATGTTTGTGGTATTCCTCCTTCTTGTAAGAGGGGGAATGGAGGGGGTGGTAGTATAAGTTCTTGGGAACTTATTCGAAATCCCCTCATCCTCGTCCCCCGGATCTGGTTTTTGAAGGTGTCTTTTTTGGAAGCGGGGGGGTCCGGTTTGTTAGGGCGGTTTCTTCAATCCGAAGACGAGGGGAGTCCGGAATATTAAGCCCCCTCGTTGGCAGGGGCGTTCGGAAGATTTTCCGATTATTTGTTGGCTATGCTGGGATATTTTGTGGCTATGTATTGCATTTATCTTCCGAAATCCGCTTGTAGGAGGATATGCCCGACCTAGGAGTAGGCAGAGTTGGCGTACGGCAGTGTGTATCTTCCCACTGCCTGTTCTTCGAAGAAAAAATCGCCATATATCGATACATACCTACCTACCTACCTACCTACATACATACATACACACATACATACATACATACATACACACATAAATACATACATACATACATACATACATACATACACACACACATACATACATACATACATACATACATACATACATACATACATACATACATACATACATATTTCTTCTTGTATTGTTTCACGAATCTGTTGCAGTCGAAATTCCGCATCGCCTCCTTGCGTGCGCACGGTTTACTGCCTCTGCCTGCTCGCCTGTCCGTTTGCTCCATCGGTGGTCCCAGATTCAGCAGTTGTGCGTGGCGGTTCCACGCATAGATCACTTGACGCTGTCCAGCTTCGCAGGGTCGCCGGCTCACTGGTCGCAAGTGTACTTGTCGCGGTTCACTTGTCCGTTCGTCCGTTCGGTCGCATGTTAAGTTACATTATTTTATTCTTCGCTGCCCCATTGGTGTTCTCTTTTTCCGTTTTGGAGCCGTCGTTCTGTTGGTTGATATTGCCGTCACCCTCCTACTCCTCATTGTTGCGCTACTCTTGCGATTGTTGTTCTGACGTCTTCACCTCTTATTTGTACCTTGACGTCTGATACTCGAGCAACTACGATGACTTTGCCAATGTTACGCGCAGTGGAAATACGGAGGCGAAGGGCGCATACTGGATCACAGTCAGAGGGATGGGGTTTGCCTGTGCATCCGATGTGCCAGGCCAAGGCGACGCGGCGGACCAACAGCCAGATATTTGTCGATGACCCCGAGGAGGCCCTCGGAAGAGGGATGGGTTGGACTTCGTAGGCAGCTAGACGTGGTCTAAGACAGAACCCAGTCTCCTGTTCGATGGATTGCTGGACTTGACTTTCTTCTTCTGTAGAACGGACGAGTCACGCGAGGCTTGAATGAAAGGATTGTCGGGCTCGGTTCTCAGCGAGCTGCGCGGAAAAATTGAGTTACGTGTTACTCTTGGGAGTGGAGATGAGCCCCAACGGTCCAATTGTGGGAACGATGCCATACACGGTAAAATGGCAGATCTCGGCATAGCCGCATTTATCTTCATCGATATTGCTTTTTTAGGTGTCTCTTTACGTAGCACCCCGCAGATGCGGAGACGAGTGAGGGGGCGGTGGGGGCGTCGGCAGTTTGCGAGACTCTGGAGAAGCCCGCCGCAGGCGCCCACAGAACATCCACCCCATAATAATCACCCCGACAAGGGAAGCCGTTTAGTACATGCACGCAAGGAATGAGTCGAACATGGCAGGGCTGTTTAGTCAATGCCCAGGGCCATTTAGTAAACGTCCATTGTCGGGTCCGGGTGTTCTTTCCTCCCTTGAGGGTGGGTCGCGAGGTGGCTCGCGGGTGGGTCGCGGGGTGGATCGCGGGTGGGTCGCGGGTGGGGTCGCGGGGTGGGTCGCGGGTGGGGTCGCGGGGTGGGTCGCGGGTGGGTCACGGGTGGGACGACAACAAAAAACAACAACACCAACAACAACAGCAACAACAACAACAACGCAACAAGCAGAATTCTCACCACGAATTTCTATTTCAGCCACGCACCCAGGGACAATGAATGACCGTTCGGCCCCCTCACGCTGATTTGTTCGTTTTGGGGTTAGTCTCTGTGCTGGTGGCACAAACGATGGTGCTGGACCCAGCGAAGCTGGCCAAGGCGATGCGTGCTTAGTGGTGTTCGTGGTAGCGTGGGTCACGGTGGAGGTGGTAATTGATCGAGTTTCGGCATTGTGATGACGGTAGTGGTAGTGCGTTTGTATTGGGCTCGTTAATGGTTGTGGCGCAGTCGAGGGCACGGTCGTGATAGCCGTCGTGGCTTGGGAAGTGCAAGGGTAGTGAAAGTGGTATTGGCAATGGTAGGTTGTGGACGCGTGAACGTTAGTGGTAGTGATAGTGGTAGTGGTATTGGTAGTGGACGGCGTTCGGTAGTCCATTATGGTTGTCGTATTCAGGGTGTTTAGTAGACTATACATTGGGCAGCGACGGCGTTGAGTAGTGGTGGTTCCACGAGACGCGGTTTGGGCAGTAGCGGTTGTTCGGTTCCAAGCAGCATATCGGGGACCAGCATCAGCATCAGCACAAGTGCCACACCCACGAATTCAATGATCAGTGGGGCGAATACCACCTCACGCAGCAGCACCTCGGTGCCCAACAGCACGTCGGTGACCAGCCGCACGACGGGGAGAAGCATCATCAGCACGACTCTGACATCCACAAGTGGGGCGAGCAGTATGACAAAAAATGTGACACTGAGCAACAACACCTGGGTTTCAGAAGCGCAATGCAGGGAACCAGGAATAAGACCGTCACCACGGCCTTGAAGGACGAGTTCTGGTTTTTTGGATTGTCCCTGGAACGTCTTGGTTAGAGTCTCCGCCTGGTCTTCTCGACCCCTCTTGCTGGCGTGTCTAGGCGTGCTCTATATGTAGGTTCTCGTGCCGCTCTGCATGTCTTCCATTCTTTATACACCCGGTGCTCGTGATGTTCTGCATTCGTCTGGATGTCTAGTCGGCCTCCTCTTTGCGATACTAAGCCAGACTCTTGGCTTCGAGACTTGGCCTCGATGCCACTTGTTTGGCTCTCTGCGCCCTGGGGATTTGAGTCCACTGTGGGGCGCTCATTCCCCCTCGCTCGAAAACACACACAGTGTCGTAATCGCGACTTGCTCATGCAGGGTGATACTTTCGTAGCTGTAGACCTGCCGACCTTTCCAGGCCCCTTGCTCGCCGCACTTCCGGCCTGTTGGCTGCTATCGTGTCCCCTCCTCTTCTCTCTTCCTCTTCACTCATTTATCCGCGCTTCGGTTTGTATTAGGCGTCTCAAACAACTGTTAAGGTGTTTTGCCGTTTTAAACTCGACGTGTTGGAACTCATGTTTTCAGCGTGTCGAGGTCCTAACAAGAGAAGTAACAACGCTAAACAAAACATGTGATTGCGTTTTTAGCTACGTTTTCTAATTTTTTTCAGATCAGTTGGTCACATGGTCTAACATTGCCGTCTACGACGTCTTCTTGTTCATGTGGCTCTTCTCTTGCCCTCTTTGCTGGCTGATGCGTCGGTCCTCGAGGCCCGATGGCTGATTGCCCCTCCTGAGGCCATCGGGCCTCCGAGCCTGTTTCGGGCTGGTGTTAGACAGGTGTTCGAGGGATGTTTAATGTTTTTAGCTGTGAGAGGGAGAACGGCGGCAGAAACGAAAAAGAGGGAGCTAAGACAGCAGGGAAAACAAGGAACAGCTTTCGACCAGAGAGCAAACAACGATAACAACATGATAATCCACAGCGACGGGCCTACACATGCAACAAACACATCGAACACGCTCAAACAACGTCGCGTGCTTGATAGCGTTTTTACAATGAGCTTGAAGCGCGAAATTGATACAAACATAAGTTTCTACGAAGAGCCAAGGCTTCACTGGTGCGAGCGTTGCTGGCTAACCATGGTAGGCATGCGCACGCGCAGGCTCCTCCTCTCTCTGTAGCTCGAATATCGCAGCACCCCGTCGCCCTTGAACATGATATCCTGGCTAGGGACTGGTATGATAGGATGCACTTGACGGCCCGGCAGCTGGGGAGCCTCACACCCCCAAATCGGGTCAGTCGGCCCTCCCGCCGCTGCGCTTTCACTGCTGCGGGACGTGCGGGCAGACACTGATCTCCCGTCTTCCTCCTCATTCCTTTTCCTTGGTGGCGATTCGCTGGAAGGCTCTACCAGAGGTAGGAAGCACGAGGGGGATGGAGAGCCCGGGAGCGCCCGGTTCGGCAGCGGTCCAGCCGCCGTTTCGCGCGCAATACGTGTTCTTTTCAGTGTTCTGGGGTTCGTGCTCTCGCCTCAATGCCGGCTATGCCTTTGGTCCAGACGGCCACGATCTGATGGAGAAAATGTGCGGAGGCTCGCATGGCCGTGCTCTCACCCTTGCCCAGGCCGCATCTTTCGCGCACTTCCCAGAAATCCCTGGGAATACCTAGGACTGCACGTTCGACCTCCTACTCTTCGATCCGCCCCTTCACCGTTGCTCTCAGGAGTTGCCTGCTAACTTTCGTCGCTCTTCCCTTCCTCAAAGCACAGGATGGGGAGCATGACGAGGAGGAAGAGGAGCAATCCAGGTCGGCAGCATCTCGGTCAACGCCCCGTTCTCGCCGGCAGCCTCCATGAACCCCGCCATGATGGCGTATTTGCAGAGCATGCCTGCTGCTCAGCCGCGCGGCCGGGAGCCTTGTTAGCCAGGCAGGGACGGTTGGCGATGTTTGGCCCGATTTCAATTGTCATTCTTTCTCTCTCCCTCTGTCTCTTTTTCTCTCTCTCTCTCTCTCTCGCCCTCGCTTTCTCACGCTCAGACCAGTTCACGCAGACTCCCTCATTATCATACAGCATCCAGGTTCACTCACATCGAGACTCTCGCATGTTTAGCCTCGCTCATCCTCGTACTCACTCCTACTATAACTGGGCAATCATGATCCGATCCACTCATTCAGACTTCTCATACTCCGTCAGACTCCCGGAAAGCCATACACATTCACACATAGCCCTTCCTACTCAGACTCACTCATACATAGACTAACTCACATTCAGGCTCATCCATACTAGGACTAACTCATAGTCAGACCCGTTCACTTTCATACAATCCTGGGCCCCATGATCACCGCGCTGTAGCAATCATGGCGCTTCGGCCTCCCAATGGTTGGGAGCAGCCAGGATGATCGACACGGGTCTGTTGCGCCAAAATTGGTGGGAATTCTCAGGTAGACTGCCAGTTTGGGGCGGTGAACGTATCGTTGTCCTATGATCACAGCGATGTGGCAGGGACACACTTGGGCCTCCCAAGAGGTAGCCACCGAGGGGTGTTGCACGGGCCCGCTCGGGTCCAGCTTGGTGGAGCCTCTTGGGCCGAGTGCCCGTTTGAGGGGGGTGGCCGTTTTCTTCGTCAGAGCCCTGTTATCACCGCGATGTGGCAGGTATCGCATCTGGGCCTCCTAGCAGGGAGCCGCCAGGGGGTATGACGCAGGCCCGTTCGCGCCCAGATTGCTGGGACCTCTCAGGTAGGATGCCCGTGCGGGGCTGTCAGCCGTGTCTATTTCTGGAGCCCCATGGTGACCTCGAAGCAGCAGAGCTCACGCTTGGACTTGCCCTTGCCGGTGGTCACCCAGGGGGGTATGCTCTGGGCCCGCTCGCGCGCAAACTGGTGGGACCTCGCAGGCGGAATGCCCGCCGGGGGCGGCGGAGGGCCTCTCCGGAGCCCCTGGCATGACGCCGGTGCAGTGCAGCCGACGTGACCACGAGGACGATCGACTTCCCCTGGGGTGCCCCCTGCAGCAGGGCTCATTTCGATTGCCCCGATTCGATTCGATTCGATTTCGATGGATTCCGATTCCGATTCGATTCGACTTGGGATTCCGATCTGGGTTCCGATTCCTCACTGGATGCGTACAAGCCTGCCGATTTCAGCCGATTCGACTCCTTCCGACTTGGCTGCCGATCTCCGCCGATCCGACTAATTTCGATCGCCGATTCGACTCACCGATTCGATTCTGGGCTCTCCTGCCTGCAGCCAGGCCTCTCTCCGGCCATTCCTACAGGTCCAGCCTCCACCGCTCTCGATGGCCAGCCTCGCCCGAGGAGCCGCGGCACGGGCGTCCGAGGCCCGTGCGTCCTCGTCGCGCATCCACGGTGTCGGCGTCGGCTGTGCGCAGCGCTGTGGGGATCTCCCCGGGAGGCGCCGCCGTGCGGGAGGGCACGAGCTCGTTCGTGCCCAGGAGTGGCGGGTCATCTCGGGCAGAGTGCCCGTTTCGGGCAGAGTGGCCGTGGCTCGCTTTCCGAGCCATCTGATCGTGGCGATGTGGCAGGCATGGCACGCGTGCCTCCCCAAGAAAGGCTGATCAGGGGTGCTCCACCGCGCCGTTCGCGCCCAGGTTGTCGGGGCCTCTCTGGTCGAGTTGTAGTTGCTTGTTTGTGGTAGACGCGTTTCTTTCCAGAGCGGCTTGATGACCGCGATGTAGGGCATGGTACTTGGGCATCCTACGGGGGATGTCGATCATGGATGTTGGACATGCCCGTTCGCGCCTAGATCGTCGGGACCTCTCTGTGATTCCCAATGTCATGGCGATGTAGCAGGTCTGGCATTTTGGGCTCCCCAAAGAGGATCAGGGGTGTTCCACGCGCCCGTTCGCGCTCAGATTGTCGGGACCTCGCTGGGCATGGGAGAGGGTCGACGTGTTTGTTTTCTGAGCCGCATGACGATCACGATGCAGCAGGCGTGGTTTGTCGGGCATCCCACGGGTATTCCACGGGCGTGCTCGCGCCCAGATTGTCGGGAATGTATGGCCGCCTGCTCATGTTTGGGTGTGTGCTTGCAGCTGCCAGGGCCCCAATATACCATCGTGACATGGCAGATATAGCACCTGGGCCTCACGCGGTTGAGCCGAGCAGGGGCATCCCGCGGGCCCGTTCGCCCCGTTCGCGCCCACGCTGGCCAGGACCTCGGGCACGATTCCAATGTCTGGGGGCAGACGTGCGTGTCTCCAACGCGCGGACGGTCACCACGCCGTGGCACGCGTGGCGCTCGGGCCTCCCAGAAGGGAGGCCGACCCGGGGGGTGCCGCGGGTGCCCCATGGCTGCCAGCCTGCGCTGGGACCTCCCCGGCAGAGCTGCCGCTCTGGGGGGCTCGCAGACGTGCTGCCCCTCGGCGGCCCGGGTGCAGCTGCGATGCCTGCTGGGCATGGCAGCGGAGCCTCCTGAGAGGGGAGGGGACCAGCCCGCCTGCGCCCAGAGTGCTGGGACCTTCCAGGTGGGATGACACTTCTTTGGGGCAGACGTGTTTCTCTCCACAGTCGACCACCGCGAGCTAGGATAGGAGCAGGAGGAACTGAGGAGGAGGGAGATGGGGAGGAGGAGGTGGCGGAGGAGGCGAGGGGGGACGAGAAGGGAGACTCCAAGGACAACAGTAGAGAGCAGCAGAAAGCAGCGGAGAGCAGGTGAGAGCAACAGAAACCAGCGCTCACACTCGGACTCACTCGCATTCGATCTTACTGGCGCTCAGATTCGCTCACGCTCAGACAGTCACGGAGGAAAGTGGCATAATCATGGGGAGAGTTGAACCTACCAAGGTATTGATGCAGCGTGGAAGCTTTACCATCTTAGCAGACGCGAGCGCCCTGAGATCTGATCATACTCTTTTCACCAGCCTGGAACATATCCCTATCCCCATGCTTGGCATAACCTTACCTCGGTGCCGATCTTAGGTTCCTCGGTTTCTGACGGCGCGTCCCTAAGATTGTCATCGCCTTTGCAAGGGTCTTTCCAACTCTTCCGGCTCGAATCGAGCCAATTCCGCGGTTGTTGATTCGAACCCGTTCAATTTGGAGATTCCGATTCGCGATTCCGATTTCGAGTTCACCCGATTCGACCCTGGCCGATTCTGCCGATTTCCTGCCGATCCGGCTCTGCTCTGGCCCTTGGATAGTTAAGAAAAAAACGGAGGGGGTCAGAGAGATGGAGGAGGAGGAGGAGGAGGAGGAGGAGGAAGAGGAGGAGGAGGAAGAGGAGTAAGAGTAGGAGTAGGAGTCAAGCTAGCCAGCTCGAGCGAGTCAAGCACGGCATGCCCAGTCCCACCCGCCCTCCCACAACATAAGAAGCAAAGCTGGCACAACTGGGGGCCGAAGTCACACCGGCCAGCCGGTTTGGTACAGCTGATGCGGCCGCGATGGCGGTTGCCGACGGGAACTGGCGAGCGCGTGTTGAATGCCGCGCACGCATTGCCAGACGAGTCGAGAATGGCCCGGTACACCGCAGGAAGCCAGAGGTGGCCGGAGGAAGCCCGACGGTCTGACAGGACACCCCAAAGCATTTTTGTGAAAAAGCATTGGGTTTTTGATGTTTTTATGTTGAAATGCTTGCAAACACACGGTGTTCGGTAGGATTCTGACATGAACGCGCGAGTGTGCTCTTTGTGGTATTTTTTGCACAGGATTCGCGGCCTGGGTGCATGACAGAGCATCGCGAGTGCACCGCGCGATGACGTGAAATCGCTGGATTTGACCGAATTCTTAAGATTCCTATGGTTTTCCTATGATTTCAGCAAGAGAGCCCGGGCGGGAAATTTGTACAATTTTTGTGAAAAAGCATTGGGTTTTTGATGTTTTTATGTTGAAATGCTTGCAAACACACGGTGTTCGGTAGGATTCTGACATGAACGCGCGCGTGTGCTCTTTGTGGTATTTTTTGCAATGGATTATCGCCGTGGACGACAGGACGTCCATGTCGAGAGGAAAAAATAAGAAAAATGTTGATTTTGTATTGTTTTTTACAGGTTAGGATGGGACCACCCGGATGCGGCCCCTATCTGGCCGGCCTGAGGGGGGAGTAGGAGTATATTCTAATAAGGAATAAGGATAGGAGTAGGAGTAGGAGTAGGAGTAGGATCAAGCTAGCCAGCTCGAGCGAGTCAAGCATGGCATGCCCAGTCCCACCCGCCCTCCCACAACATAAGAAGCAAAGCTGGCACAACTGGGGGCCGAAGTCACACCGGCCAGCCGGTTTGGTACAGCTGATGCGGCCGCGATGGCGGTTGCCGACGGGAATTGGCGAGCGCGTGTTGAATGCCGCGCACGCATTGCCAGACGAGTCGAGAATGGCCCGGTACACCGCAGGAAGCCAGAGGTGGCCGGAGGAAGCCCGACGGTCTGACAGGACACCCCAAAGCATTTTTGTGAAAAAGCATTGGGTTTTTGATGTTTTTATGTTGAAATGCTTGCAAACACACGGTGTTCGGTAGGATTCTGACATGAACGCGCGAGTGTGCTCTTTGTGGTATTTTTTGCACAGGATTCGCGGCCTGGGTGCATGACAGAGCATCGCGAGTGCACCGCGCGATGACGTGAAATCGCTGGATTTGACCGAATTCTTAAGATTCCTATGGTTTTCCTATGATTTCAGCAAGAGAGCCCGGGCGGGAAATTTGTACAATTTTTGTGAAAAAGCATTGGGTTTTTGATGTTTTTATGTTGAAATGCTTGCAAACACACGGTGTTCGGTAGGATTCTGACATGAACGCGCGCGTGTGCTCTTTGTGGTATTTTTTGCAATGGATTATCGCCGTGGACGACAGGACGTCCATGTCGAGAGGAAAAAATAAGAAAAATGTTGGTTTTGTATTGTTCTTTACAGGTTAGGATGGGACCCCCCGGATGCGGCCCCTAATGGCCGGCCTGAGGGGGGAGTAGGAGTATATTCTAATAAGGAATAAGGATGAGGAGGAGGAGGAGGAGAAGGAGGAGGAGGAGGAGGAGGAGGAGGAGGAGGAGGAGGGGGGCGTCGACGACGACGACAACGAGCCCCACTGGAGCGTCCTGGCCGCACGTCGACGCCGGCGTGGTGACCTGCGGGTGCCTCGCCGCCCTCCCTGTCGTCTTCGACGCCTTTTCTCAAGCAGTGGCGAAGCGCCCTGGCTCGCCTGCGGGCCCACCAAAGATTGTTCCCAAACCCTTTCCCAGAGATCCAGCGTATTGAAAAATCAAGACGGAGGTTTTTTTCAAATTTTGGCCCCTAGGGACCCTCGCCGGTCCTCGGGACTTTCAAAAAACGACCCAGGATGAAACACTGGTCCTTGGGAATGGTTCGAGACTTCCGGGGACCCCGTCATGAAAAAATCACGACATCGGATCTCTGGGTTTGTGGTTTGCACGAAATGTTCTTAGAAAGTGTCTGGCTGAGACTGTCTTGTTTCAACGCATCGGGTTTCTGATCCAAGAGCATTGCTCCTGCTCCCAGAACAGCTTCGGTTTCTGGGAGCACGTCGTGGTAGGCCTACAGGAATGCCAGGACGGCCGGTCCCTTCTCAACCTTCGCTGTCGCTGCCCACGCCGCCGCCTCCGCCGCCGCAGGCCCCCCAGCCCCCCACGGTGCGTCCTGGAGGCGTCTGCTGGCGTCAAGGGCCACGGCCGAGCCCGCCTCGAAATTCCTGCCTCCCAAAAACGCCCCCCCCCCGGGGCATCCACGGACGGGGCCCCCCACAGACCCCGCTCGCCTTCGCCAGGGAAGCAAACACGGGCATGAGCATACAGATTCGGAGGTCCGCGCGGACCCCCCGGGTTGTTACGTTTGTGTCACTGCTCGTTCGCCCACTCGCAGCCCTCGCCTCTGCCTGCGCAGGGCGAGAGGCCACGCCCGGCTCTGCAGCGTGGGTCCAGCCGTGGCCGCGGAGCCTAGGGCCGAAGACCCTTGGCCCAGGCGGCACATTGCGGGCGCACGGCCCTCGACAGTCTGTGAGACAGACCAGTGGGGGTCTGTGGGACAGACAGGGGGGGGGTCTGGGACAGACCAGGGGGGGTATGTGGGACAGGCAGGGGGGGTCTGGGACAGACCAGGGGGGGGTATGTGGGACAGGCGGGGGGGGGTCTCTGGAGGGCCCCTTGGGGTCCCCCGGGGCCCCAGGGGCTGGCTCTGAGGCCCTGAGGCGGGTTCTGAGACCCTGGGGGCCCCTGGGGCCCATGGCATACGGTGCCCTGAGGCGGCCCCACCATGCGCGGAAAACGAATGCGACGGCGTGCGGCCCCCGTATGCAACGACATGTGTACGACGACATACGACGGCGTCTACAACGACATGCGACGACGTCTACGACGACGTGCGACGATGACAGTCTGAAGGCAGGGGACGGCCAATCACCCTCCTCTTCCTTCCGATTTCGATGCCGATCTGGCTTGCCGCGATCTGGTTTCCGACTCGATCCGACCCGGCCCTGCCGACTTCTGCAGAATTTGATGTTTCAGCCAATTTCTGCCGACTTCTGCCGACTCGATGCTCGGGTCGATTCGATCCGGATCGACTTATCGATTCGATGTTGGGGCCGTTTGTTTTTGGTCTTGTCAATCTTCGGGATAGGGGTCAGCTCGAGGCTGTTATCTTCCTCGCTGTATCGCGCTGCCCGGATACCAAGTGCTGAGCCTTGGTAGCGCAGAAACGTCACAAGCTGGGAGGCGGGGGCGGAGAGGGCCAACGACGACGGGGCCGGGCCCAGAGCGAAGCTGGAGGGGGACGAGGAGCTGCAGGAGGGGAGCAGGGAGGGGAGGAGGAGGAGGAGGAGGAGGAGGAGGAGGAGGAGGAGGAGGAGGAGGAGGAGGAGTAGGAGGTGGAGGTTGAGGTTGAGGAGTGGGAGGGGGAGGCAGATGAGGAGGAGCTCCGCACGGGGGACCGACGCCCAGGGGTCGAGTAGTAGATCGACTACAGAATTGAGGTACTCCAAAAAATGAGTTCACCGTAGAATCTACTAATATTCTAGGCATGTTTCGTAGAGTCGACGAGAAAATCAATTCTGGGGTAAACCCATTATGTAGTCGACATCCTACTCGAAGGGGGGTGCGAGGCGGGGATTTATGCATACCCACCGCCTGGGAACCGACGTCCTGGGGACACAGCGGGCGGTAGATATGGAGATCGTTTGGCCCCTGGGGGCCCGAATATATCTATATCCACTGCCTGTGGATGTCCACAAGGATCTTCACTCAAGCGGTGGTTCTGGACTAGTCCCCGCCTCGAAGAGGGGGATCCGGTAGCAAATCAAGGGAGCATGGTATACGCCCTAAATCCTGTCTCCATCGTCGAACAGCGTCTGGGAGCCGATGAAATATCGCCCATTTAGCTTCGATTCGCAAGCATTTGGCGTCGGCTGGCGTCGAGTCGCGTCGATTCGCAAGAGCCGACGAGACGGTATAGGGGTGGCTCTCATGAGCTGCCACCGAAGGGGGAGGCGAGGAGGGAGATCCCGGGGGCCGACCCTCCTCCGCCTCCGCCTCCTCCTCCTCCTCCTCCTCCGCCTCCGCCTCCGCCTCCGCCTCCTCCTCCTCCTCCTCCTCCTCCTCCGCCTCCGCCTCCGCCTCCTTCTCCTCCTCCTCCTCCTCCTCCTCCTTCTCCTCCTCCGCCTCCGCCTCCTCCTCCTCCTCCTCCTCCTCCTCCTCCTCCTCCTCCTCCTCCTCGAGCCCTGCCTCGCGGCGTGCGCCGAGGACTGCCATGTACGGGGCGTACGGGGCGAACCCCGCAGGCGAGCGCCCAAGCGGTCGGGGTGAAGAGAGCTGCCGACGTGGAGGGTGGCGCGGCCGCTGGAGGGGTCCCAGGCCCCCTTGAAGCAGTGGCGAAGAGTCCTGGCTTGCCTGTAGGCCCACCAAAGAATGTTCTGAGAGCCTTCTTGGCTTGCACGAATTGGAAGGGGTGTTCCTAGGATCCTAGGACATGTGTTGCTGAGGCTGTCTGGTTTTAACACACCGGCTGTATATTATGTGAGCCTTGTTTTTGTGATTGGACTTCTTTTGGAGTCTACGAAGTGTTCGTGGTAGGCCTGTAGGAATGCCGGGACGGTCGGCCCCTGCTAAACCCCTCGAGCCACGGACAAGAATCACGACGGGAGGCTTTTCGCTATGTTCGGCCTCCGGGGGCCCTTACCAGGCCTCGAGACCGTCAACGAAGCGGTTCAGGATGCAAAGCTGGTCCCAGGGAATGGGTCGAGTCCTTTGGGGGTCGGCGCTGTCAAAAATTCAAGCAGTGGCGAAGCGTCCTGGCTCGCCTTAGGTCCACCAGAGCATGTTCTAAGAACCTTCTGTTGTCTGCACGAAATCTTCTTAGAACATTTCTGGCTGATGCTGTCTTGATTTAGCACATCGGAACATGGTCTCTGTTCTTAGAGCATTTCTGGGTTCTAAGAACATTTTGTGGTAGGCCTATAAGAATGCCGGGACGGTCGGTCCCTGCTCAATTTTGGGGGTCGGCGTTGTGAACAAATCGTGACGTCGGGGGTCTGGGATACGGAGTGCTGGTGGCGGCGGCCGCGAGAGCAATGGCGGCGGCGTCTTCCTCTGAGACCTTACCCTGTGTCCCCCCCCTCCGCCTTACCCTAGGAAGTATTTCAGACCCCCCCCTTTCAGTGAAACGATAACTCTTCCGGCACCCTGGAAGCGTTCTTTCGGAACCAGGAGGGCTTCCAGAGGGCATTCGGGGCCTTGCAAAGCTCTACTAAGCATTGCTGGGCCCTGCTAAGCTCTACTAAGCACCGACCGACGCAGCGGTAGGACACGATGCCAGTGCAGAAGGGGGCACACACAAACGCCACCGCTTGGGATTTTGTGTTGTTGTTTGCGCGCGGTGCTAAAGATATCGCTCCGCGAAAATGCTCCTGTGGAATATTGAATACAATTGCGGTGGTAAAATAAACCTTGGGGGGTTCTTCAAATACTTCTCGAGGTTACCCCTCCTCCTCCTCCTCCTCCTCCTCCTCCTCCTCGATCCCCGATCGAGGAGGAGGAGGAGGAGGAGGAGGAGGAGTACGAGGAGGAGGAGGAGGAGGACGAGGAGGAGGAGGAGAAGAGGAGGAAGGAGAGGGGAGAGGACCAACTAGGCGCGCTCGCGCCGTATCTGGCATCCGATCCCTCCCACCTATTCCTTTCCATTTCGCTGCGCTGTTTTCTATCTATCCGCCGACGCGTGTCATAGCGGACCTGGATCTCCAAAGAGAACCCCACTGTGTCATGCTCAAGAGGAAGCAAGAGCTCTGCGTACACTGGAGGAGGAGGTGGCGGATGAGCAGTAGGACAAGGAGGAGGAGGAGGAGGAGGAGGAGGAGGAGGAGGAGGAGGAGAGGGAGGAGGAGGAGGACGAGGGACGAGGAGGAGAGAGGAGGAGTAGGACTAGCACGATCATCGCCAGCAGGAGATGTAGTGGGAGGAGCGAGATGGGCGTCCAGGGGAAGGGGGAGGAGGGCAAGTCGGGGGGGCGAAAGCGATGAGAAAGGACTGGGATCCAGAAAAGCCGCCCGCGCTGGAGCGAGAGCAAAGCGCCGATCCAGAAAATGAGGCACGCGCTGCAGCGGGAGCACCGTTCTGAAACACCGAACCTACTCGGACCAGAGACAGCCCCTGGCGTGCGACGCCCTGATTGTTTCAGGACGGCGTCCCCGGAAGTCCAGACCTTCTTTCCCGGGCCCCCCGGTTTTTTCAGTCCGAGTCGTTGTTTGACGGTCCCGGGGCCCGACGAGGGCCCCCAGGGGCCGAAAATATCAACAAATTGCCGTCCTCATTTTCGCACGACGTGATCGTGTCTGGGACCATCAGAGAAAAAAACATGCTCGAACTCTTGCGTGTACAAGACAGGTCTCAAAGGGCCGGCCATCTTCCGGGCAAGGCCAGGGGAGAGGGGAAGCGCAGACCGCGGGTCCCAAGGAATGGCGCGAGCGCTGGTGAAGGAGAAGACACGCCGAATAGTTGAAGTGGCGTATTGATGCATTGCTGACACTCCAGAGAGGTGTGGCGTGTTGATGCACAATGGTTTGTTTGCAGACATGTGGTCCAACGAGCGGATAGGCGCACCAAGTTCGCAAGCCCGCGCGACCCACGGGAAAAAAACACACAGACACAGCTAACAACGGGCGATTCCCAGGAAGAAATGAGAAAAGATGGGAAGCGGGGGCTGGGATGCGAAAAGCCATCAAGGAACATCGGAAAAAGATGTGGAATCCTGTGATTCGTGTGTTTATTTGTCAGGAGGGAAAAAACACAGACACAATTCATCGTCGATTCCCAGAAAATATGGGAAGTGGGTGTGAAGACAAAAACTTTGAAAAACTGTGCGAACATACGGGGGATCCTGTCATTTGTGTGTATTTATCTGTGTGTCCCGGGGCCCCTTCAATTTGTCCGTGTGCCCCGGGGCCCTCTGCGCAGATCTTCGCGGCGGGAGCCCACCGTGGGCGACGCGTCAGCCACCCTTTGCCGAGGAGAGCGCTGCTGCGGCCGGCCGCAGCAGCAGCGGGCCTGGTCGGGCTGCGGGCGGGGCTGCTCGGCGCCCGCCGCCACCAGGGTTGTGGAAGGCAACCAATGGAGGGGAAGAAACACACAGACACAACTAGTCGTCGATTCCCCCGAAAAAATGGGAAAAATGTGGGAAGTGGGGGGAAGATCAAACCCAGAAAAAATATGGGAAAAGATTGGCTCTCCTTTTATGTGTGTGTATTTATTTGTGTGTCCCTGGGCCCCTTGAAACCAATGGAGAGGAAACATACTGCCAAACTGTTTCCAGATGTCTAAAACATGTCTCAAACATGTCTCACACATGTAAAAACAGGTGTTGCACGCGTTTAGAACATGATATGAACATTTCAAACGCATCTCTACTACGATGATCGGATTGCTAGAGTGCCCATTGCCATGGCATCCACAACACCAGCGGGAGGTCAGGAGGCCGCGCGGTGTTCGAATGTTATTATTGAGTCGGGCAGGTCCCTCTGCAGGAGGAGTCATCAAAAATAGTAAAACATTAATATATGGACGATGTTTCTATTATTATTGATTGTTTGTACTATTTATGTTGACTATGTTTCATTTTTTCCGCCAAGATCCGCCTGTAGGACGACATGTCCGACTTACTGATATTATGATGTGGTCTCGTTGTTGCCCTACTGCCCTCGACAAAATGAGCCTCGAAAGATCGCGCGCAAAACACGCACTCGTGCATTTGGTGTTCTGGGGATGACATTGCGTGTGAAGCACTTGTTGGCGCCCCTTCTCCAGCGTCGGTCATCGTAGAACCATGGCTGAGTTTGGTTCGGTCGGTTCTGTTGCGTCACCGTCGGTTGCAGTCGATCGGTTCGGTTGCTTCGGTTGCTGCGCGGCCTCTGCATTGTTACATTTTTGCAAGTTGTTTAGGTTGATTCGGTTTCGCCGCGGGCAATTTGCGGGCGCCTCGTGCGTCGGGCTGGCTCGGTGGGGTTTCGCCTGGTGAAAGGGCCGTATGGCTCGGTGGGATTTCGCTTGGTGAAAGGCCATAGGCGCCTCGCGGGCGCCTCGCGGGCGTCCGCGGGCGCGTGGCGGGCGCTCCGTGGGCGGTGGTTGGTCGTTGGCTTGCGCCTTGTGTCTTACGTCGCTCACGCCACGAGCTCCAGTTCTGGACGTCGGAGGCGCCCCAGCCCAGACCGCGTTTCGCTCTGCTTCGACACTGACGGGGGCGACACTGATGGGGTGAACTGGGGCGACATTGCAGGGGCGCGTCAACAATGTTGATGTGCATTGTGTCAAGGGTTGCAGGTGCTCGCGCTCGCTTGTTTCACCTCAGCGGGGTGCGCCCATTCAACATGTTGCCAGCGGAGCGAAGCCCAGCGGCGGAGACAAGCGACGACACGAGGGTGACGACGACGACGGGAGGAATTGAAGGGGAAGGGCGAAGAAAGCGAGCGACAGAAAGCAGCAGGACGGTGGCCTTTCGGGGTTGGTCGCGCTCGGGTGATCGGAGGGCTTTTAGGGGGGTCTCGGAGGATCCTGGGTGGCATCCTGGTGCATCGTGTGAGCTGTTCCGACCAGTTGACCCATGTTCTGTGGAGCTCCAGGCTACACCACGGTCATGCTGCGGAACATACCCAACCGCTACACGCGCGAGATGCTGGTTGAGAGGCTGAACAAGGGCTACAAGGCGGGGGGGCCTCCGCCCACTGGACGGGCTCGCCTACATCTACGCTAGCGTTGTCTCGCACCGATTTGGGCCTCAGCGTCTTGCGCTAGTTTTGGTGAGGTCCCGTTTGCAGTGTTGTCGTCCATGGTGTCAGAATTTGTCGGTTGACCCGTGGGGTGGGGATGTCTTGTCACATGTCATCTGACAATGCAGGCCCGTTGTTGCCCGCTCCATTTGGGTATTTTGGCATTCAGAGGCGGCATCACATGCCTCCTTATGATTTCAAGTGCGTATCGTTCATCTTTTCAGAAGGGCCGACCTACAACCGTTCGGGTACCATTCAGCTGCCCATCTGGGAATCATTCGTATAGAAATACAAATGAAGACGCAGCGGGGACGGAGGGATGCCGTTGGAGAGACATGAGGCGGGAGAAAGGCTGAAAGGAGTGAGCAAGGGTGGTGTACGGGCACGTCGAGGGGCGATAAGTTTGCCTGGGAGAGGGAACCGGGGACGGAGTGACACCTCAGGGACAGTTCGACTTCGTTTACCTGCCAATCGACTTCGAGAGCACTTGCAACGTGGGGTACGTATTCATCAATTTCCGCACGCCGTTCAGGATGCGGGATTCGGCTTGCTCCGATGGCTTGTGCATTGCGGTGGTCTTTCCTGTAGTGTAGGGTCCCCGGTCCCAAGATGGCGCAAGATGGCCCACAGAGCCCAAATAGTTAGGCCCCCAGAAGGGCTCCCCACAAGGTCCTAGATGGTCCTGAGAGGCGGCCTGCCCAAGAGGCCTGCAGGGTACTTTAAGACAGCACGGATAGCCAGATAGAGCCCCCGAAGCCGAACCAACATATCCACAGCGAGCACCCTAGACGTCGCAAAACCAAAAGTGTCCCGAGGCCCCCTAGCTGCAGCAGCATTTGCAGCAGCTGGGCTAGAACCAGCACCGCATCAGCACGGACGCTGCTCCACGGATATATTCTTGCAGCATCAACTCCAATATTGTCTGGGCTGTGTCTCACACGTTCCTTCTCTTCCTCCTCCTCCTCCTCCTCCTCCTCCTCCTCCTCCTCCTCCTCCTCCTCTCCCGTCCTCTTGCTCTCCGCGTGCCGAATCCTCAGCGCGTGTGTCTCCTCCCCCCCTCTTTCGCCCTCCTCCCCCTCCTCCTCCTCCTTCTCCTCCTCCTCCTCCTCCTCCTCCTCCTCCTTCTCCTCTCTCGTCCTCCTCCCCCTCCTCCACGCAGGCGCGGCGTCTACAGTTCTGGAGGCCGCGTCGTGAAGCTGGTCAGTCTTGCGAGACCGCCCCCTCAGGCGCGGGTTTCGCAACCTAGATTTTTTTGGTCCCGGCCAGGCACCCACAGCAGAAGAACTAGGAGAGCAGCCTGCGTGTCTCCCTTCTGTCTGTGGGTTCGAGAAATGCAAGATACAGTGCCGTTGTTTATACATGCTCCGCGTGCGGATCATGTATTAGAATGCAGGGATGTAGTATTACAAACAACGATGAGTTCATGCATAAATTAATTCATGAATCAATCATGTATTACAAATCTTATACTTTCAAAAAAAACTATGTATTAAACGCTGGCCTGTGTGGTCCCCCGAGGAGGGGGTCGGGCAGGCGCCGATTGCTTAAAAACAGCTCCTCCTCCCCCGCCCTCGGCCCTCCGCGCGCCCAGCTCGGCGCCCCCCTCGCACCTCTCTCCTGTGCCCCCGCAGGGGGGGGGCTCCGCGCTGGCGCGCGCCCGGCGTCGAGCCCGGGGCCAGTCGCGCGAGGCACGGGCGGCAGCGCAGGGCGCGAGGAGCAGTTCGGATCTTCCGACGCTGTTCGACGAGCGCGTCCTGGATCTTGGCGGTCCGGTCTTCGTGGGATGTTTGAAGCTGGAGCTCGCGTCAAATTTCAGTTTGGGTCTCGCCATTGTTATGATGGCCCCGTCGGGCCAAGTCGAGTCCCCCGTACCCGAGTCTTACGTCTCCCCGAGCACTGTTCGTCGACCAGTGATGGGGCGTGGGCCCGCGAGGATGGCGGGGGGGGGCCGGCCCCGCGAAGCCCCGCCGTGCCCGACGGCCTCTTGGGTCGGAGAAGGAAGAAGGGCATACCGTGGAGGCCCGTGCCAAGCAACGCCCTGCTTGCCTCCAGGGTGCCCCGGGTTTCTTGGGTGTCGAGGGTTTTGCCACAGAAGGCGTGACGCTCCCACGCCAAAAGTCGATGGACGTCCCTGGGGTCTCAGGGAGGGGTTGCTTGTGGACGGTTTCTTGTGGTCGGGCCCCTACTGTACGCGTAAACTTTTGGCTCTCCGCGCGGGTTCCTTGGACCCGCGCTTGGTTGCCCCCCCCCGGCGGCGCCTCCGTCGCCGCCCCAGGGAGGGGGGTTCAGCGCAGATCCAAGAAGCCCGCGCGGAGCGCCAAAAGTTTATGTTCATGGCGTTTTTGTTTTGTTTTGGCGAGGATGGCCGCGAGAGCCCGCCCCCGCGAAGTTCCGCCCCGTGCCCGAGGCGTTTTGCGGGCCGCGTCGCTACACAACTCGGGCGTCGCGTCGCGGTGCGGCCTCCGCCTTGGCCGAGCCAGGGCAGGCGCGATGGGCCTCCTCCTCCATTCCTTCTCCTTACAAACTTCTCCCTGTCGCACCCCGAGGCCATTTTTTAGGGCGGGCCGGGCGTTTCGCTTGAGACTTCCTCACCATTTATGACCCGGAAGCTGACAAGTTGGCAACGGTTTCACAGATGGAGGGCGGGTCGTTTTCAAAATGTGGCTGTCGTTTTAGCGCTGCAAATATTCGTCTTCAACATTTGCAAGAGTTTCACGGATTGAGGGCGGGTCGTTTTCAAGATTTGGCTCTCGCCTCAGCGCCGCGCACATTCGTTTTCAACATTTGCAAGAGTTTCACGGATTGAGGGCGGGGAGTTTTCAAAGTGGCGTTATCGTTTTAGCGCCGCGCACATTCTTTTAAACATTTGCAAGAGCTTCACGGATTCAGGGCGGGTGGTTTTCAAAATGTGGTTCTCGCCTTAGCGCCGCAAATCGTCGTCTTCAAATTTGCAAGAGCTTCACGGGTTGAGGGCTGTTCATTTTCAACCTGTGGCTTTCGCTCAGCGCCGCGCACATTCGATTGCAAAGTTTGGAAGAATTTCACGGATTGAAGGCGAGTGGTTTTCAACATGTGGTTCTCGCCTTAGCGCCGCGCACATTCGATTTAGAAGGTCGCAAGACAAAATTGCAGGAGTTTCATGGTTTCCCTTGATCGGCGTACCAGAAATTGTGGTTTGGAAGGGTTCACGATGATGAGGGCGCAACAGTTACGATGATTCGCGGAGTTGAGGTCCCAGGATTGGCGTTCTGGCACGATTCCGGATCGTCAAGACGCAACGGTCAGGTTAATCCGTGGCGCTGGAATGCCGAGAATGTTGTTTTGGCATGCTTCAATGTCTTCAAACGGTTGTCTTCCAACGCGGCAGGTCCCTCTGTGAAAGTGAACCGTTGTAGGGGCCTATGAAGAGGGAGCTTGGGGGGAGGGTTTATTCCAACATCGTTGGTGACTTTTGGGTTTACACTGGTCCTCCTCCTCCTCCTTCTCCTCCCCCTCCTCCGACCTCCTCTTCCTCCTCTTCCTCGTCCTCGTCCTCCTCCTTCTCCTCCTCCTCCTCCTCCTCCTCCAGGGCAGGCGAGGGGGTTGGGGACGGCGATGGAGTCGGGGGGCGGGGCCAGGCGGCTGGTGACAAGCAGTTGCGGGGCGTCCTGGCTCGCCTATAGGCCCACCAACGAATGTTCCAATAAGCTTGCGAGGTCTGCACGCAATGTTTATCAGGACGTCTCTGGCCTATAATGTATTGTTTTAACTCATCGGGCTCATGTTCTAAGAACAGTGCTCTTGTTAGTAGAACACGTTTGGGTTCTACGGACACTTCGTGGTAGGACTATAGGAATGCTGGGACGGTCGGCCCCTGCTCAATGGCGAGGGGCAGGAGAGGGGGGAGCACGAGGGGAGGCGAGATGCCGCCCGCGGGCCAGGGCGGCGTCCACATGGCGAGTTCCACACAGGGCCTCGCCTTCGAGGGTCGAAGGAATTGGTGTCCCTTCCTCGGCGGAAGGCGGCGGAAAGTTGGTGGAAGAAGGCGGGCGCAGAACGAGGCCACCGAGGCCGACGGGAGGCCGACGGAAGGCCGGCGGAAGTAACACATGCGTCACCAAGAGATGCCAATTTTTTAGGTTCAATAGTTGTGGATTTGGCCATGCCGTATCACATATCCAGCTGCCTACGGCAAGTCCCGCCACCGTGCCTAAGCTGTGGGTTACAAGCTTGGTGGATGCTTGTTGGGATCTCGTGGGAGGCCTCTCGGGGGCCTCTCGGAGGCAGTTTTGAAGCCTCTCGGGGGCCGTTCTGGGGCCTCTTGGGCGCCCCTGGGGTGCCTCTTGGGACCTTTTGGGCGCCTCTTGGGGCCTCCTGGGGGCCCCTTGGTGCGGAGGGCTCGCATTTTCGATTCGTGTTCCCTCTCTGGGGCCCCATTGGGGGCCGTCTTGGGCGTCTCTTGGATCGTCTTGGGGCGCTCTTAGGCCGTCTTGGGGCCCTCTTGGAGGACTCTTGGGCCGTTTTGAGGTGGTCTTGGGGACTTTTCGGGCAGTCTTGGAGCGTCGGAAAGCCGAAACGGCGATAATGCCAAAATCCTTCGAAAACTTCCAGGACAGGCAATGATGTTTGTCTCGGGGGCCCTCTTGGGGGACCTTTTGGAGGCCTCTTGGGGCGCCTTGGAAGCCTCTTGCGCCATCTTGAGGTCACTTTGAGCGTCTTCGAGCGATTGTTCTGCGACTCGGGGCCCTCTTGGACCGTCTTGGGGGGCTCCTGGGCCATCATGGAAGCCTTGGAGAGCCCCAGGGGGGCGCCACGACCGCCCAGGGACACCCCGGATGTATGGCCAGTGCGCGCAACGAGGTGCGTCTCGAAGGGGGGAGGTCCCGTAGAAGATTGCACAGACCCTACCAGACAGAACGTCACATTCGACCACGCCTCAACGTGCCAGTGGGCACGGTTGCGGATAGCTGGAACTGGCCATGTCGTATCACATATAGGCCAGCACGCCCAGCATCATTGAGGCGTCGGGCTCAACGGGCGCCGCCGTGTGGCGGTGCCGCGCCTTATTCGGCACTCATCTCACGCGCTTGGTGGCCCCACTGGGAGCTCCACCTGCGGCCCCAGTGGGAGCGTTCGCATGTCGGTGCCGTTCATGCGGTGCGCCCCATTCCAGGATCTTGGCCCCATGGGGAGCTCCACGTGCGGCCCCAGTGGGAGGGGCCGCATGGCGGCGCCGCCCATTCCGACGCACCCCTCAAGAGGATCCTGGCCCAATGGGGAATTCCACCCGCGGCCCCACATGGGCGGGTCCGTATGACGGCGCCGCTCGTCTGAACACTTCTGCCACAGGGATTTGGCCCTGCAGGGAGCTCCACGTACGGCTTCAGTGGGATGGTGCGTCGCCGCCCGTTCCAGCACACGCCCCACACGCTTCGTGGGGAGCTCCGCCCACGGCCCTGGTAGGAGGGTCTGCGGGTCCACAGCGGCGCCGCCCACTTCGGCGCACCCTTCACGAGGATCCTAGCCCCATGGGTAGCTGCACCTGAGGCCCCAGTGGCAGGGTCCGCATGGCAGCGCCGCCCATTTCGGTGCGCACCTCATGAAGATCGTGCCG